TAACATGAAGTATGGATGCAGTGCCTCTGGTTGGGAAGGTCAGAAAAAGTTTCTTGATGAGAGGACGAATGAATTGTCTCTTGAGTAATAAGCGGGAGCTCAGCAAAGGGGTGGGATTGGAATGGACGTTCCCAACTTCAGGCCTCAGTGGAAAAGGGCATGGTGTTCAACAGAAGCTGAGATTGTCACTACAGCTGCAGTACAGAGGGGACAAAAGTGGAGAATAGGGAGAAAAATGGGAAAGAGAAAATATGCTGTAGATGTGAGATCCCAGGCTTCTGTTTATAGGACTCATCGCCCATCATCTGCATGTAATTTGGAAAAGAAACAAAGTTTGGAGCAGGCACCCACCCACCCATACTCATCTAGGTCTTGGTTACAGATCTGCCTAATTGGGTCGAGGAAGCCAGGCCCTCAACATGGGGATTCTGCTGGTTCCATGGGGGTTGGAATCTCTTACACCAGATTATGGTTTACCATAATCACAAACTCCCAAGCCTACCAGGCCATATGGGCACCATGAATCAACGTACCAGGCTGAGGGACCATGGCAAAATGGAAAGTTCATGCTCATATAAAGAGACCTAATTCTAAGTAGGCAGTGGTAAAAGTCATAACTTGTTACGTAAAGCACATCTATCTGCCCCATTTATCACTAGCGTTTCATTTACAGTCTTTGATAACTTAAAGAACTGAAGTCACTTAAAGTCTATCATCTCTCTTCCAAAATCATCAAGAACAGAACATTTCAACCAAACTGGAATAAGCGATTAATCCAAGTTTGAGTAGCTCAGTAAAGTCCTTAGTGCTTTCAGAGTATCTGAGTTAGGTGCACCTATTGTAGGCACTGGGCCTCCCTAGTGGTTTTTATGTCCGTGTGAGGGCGACATGGTTCACGTCCAGAAGATGCACATATCTGGGAATGCTGAACCCAACACCCATGCCTCTTTAGAGGGACCCATCGCTCCAGGACCCAGCCCTCACTGGGCTTTGGGGACTGTATGACTCTGGACCAGGAGAGAAAGGGGGGAACAGAGAGAGAGATACATAAGAATGGATATCCATAGCCAGACAGCGTAGATTTAAAGGCTAGACTGTTAAGTGAAGAATGAAGAAAATTCCTTAATGCTGCCCCGCAAATCACTCTGTGCTAATTTGCCTTGCGGGCCCAGCCTGCTGGCCAACCTGGTGACCCTGCGCTCTTACCACTGAGTCCTAATTGCACCTCCATCCCCATTCTGCATTGGAAGTAATGTGCGTTAGGAAAATCAATCCATTTGTAGGGGGAGAAACCACACTGGTTTCCTGCTACTGCTCATATTTTCACTAAAACCCCATTTTACTGGAACCAACATTGAAAAAAACCCAGCACATTTTATTCAAAACAAGGCAATATTGGTATTGACAGAGCTGCAGTGATAATGAGGACAATCAATTTTCCCTCCTCCATTATGGGGTATTGAGCAATTTTGGAGTAAACTTGCGGCATCATTAGACAAGATCAGCATTTCTCCCTTTTGAAAAGTTTCTGTTTTTCTTTTTTGCATATTTAAAGTATTCCTGCTATGATGGGGGAAAGAAGCAAAACCAAGACAAACCCAAACAAACCCAGAAGTCCCCAAAGCAATAGGTGAAGGCTGGTAATGAAAACTGGGGAGTGTAGACATTTCTTTTTAATTCTTCTGAATAATACATTGTGATGTTATTTTTGCCTTTTGGTTCATGCAGACTGCATCCCAACTCTCACCCTAAAGTGAAAGAATGCAGCTACCAAATAAAATAATCTAAGTTCTAGGAGATGAGATATTCAAGGCAAGAGGATAGATGTTACTTTTCTGTTTTGAGGAGAAGAGAATCAGGGGCTGAGCTCGGGTGGATGAAGGAAGAGAGAGTTGGAGCCTCAGAAAAAAGGCCTGGGGAAGGGAGTCAAGGTCTTTGGGTAGATTTCTATGGAAAGAGTGAAAGTGATAGAATAGTTAGGAGTTAATTAGTTTTGGCATTTCTGCTTTCCGTTTCTGGTCCTTGTTGGGCTACGCATGTCCGTCTGCCAGCTCAGGCTGACTGTGCAGACACCACGCTCCGGGGAGGGGGACCCTATCTTCCAGGGAAGACCTCTCCTCCGCATCAGTGACATCATGTGCTTGGGAAAATAACAATGCTGGCAAATGGTCACATTTCAGGATGACAAAATCCAGCCTGGGAAGGATGTTCCCATGGAAAGTCAATCTAATGTAGTTTTATCCCCCTTCCCCCAATGCTCACCTTTTAAATCAGAAATGTTAGTGAAGATGTCTTAGAGCTGGGGATTTCTCTGAATGCCATCAGGTGAGGCAGGAGCTACAGGGCCCATGTGTTTGGAAGGCAGGTGGGAGGCTGTGAGAGGGACCTGGGCGAGCCATCTAATTTTTAAAACCATCTAGAGATTGATGGTAAACAGTGTAAATGTCTTTCTCTGTACATTTTAATCCTTGAAACATATGTGCTACAAAACTGTGTTAGCTACATATGGAAGCAAGTTATCTTACTTATTTCTGTCATTTAGTGCTAGAAACATACTCTTGACCATCTTTGGACAGGGAGCCCCTCAAATGACTGCCCTCATGGAGTGGAAATCATAGAATGAGGCGACTCTGAGCATGAAGTTTGGGGTCAGTGAGGTTCCAGCCTTACCATGTGGTCCTAGGTAATTTCCTCCTCTGGGCTCCGCTTCCCCATCTGTAAAACGGGGATGATAATAGTGCCTCCCTCATCAGCTTCTCACAGTGATTGCATAATCCGTACATGTCCAAATGCTTAGAAAAGGGACTGCCACAGCCTAAATACCCAGGAAATATTCTCATCTTAGGATAAAATTTGGCCTTCCCAGTAGCTTCCAGGCTTGGAGTCCCTTCTAACTTCAAGAGCTTTGTGAAATGTGTGAGAGGCTGCAGGGACCGCCCCACCTGCTGCACTCAGATGTTTCAAATTTTCTGCCGGAGCACATCTCACACTGTTCTGGGACAATTTGTCTGCCCACCTGTTTCACCTTTACTCTGTGAATCCCTTGAAAGCAGGGACAGTGTCTTATTCATCTTTAAAAGCTAAAGCTTTACCCAGAAGATGATGTTGAGAGCCACCTCAGTCTTGTTTGAAAAAGAAGAGGAAGAGAGGAAGCAGGGAGGACTCCGAGAAAGCTCTTATGGGGGGTATGAGTAACAGATGTCTGCGACATGAAGAGACCAGACCCCAGTCCTCCTTAGAGAAAGATTACTCAAGTAGTGCATTCATAACTTCTCCTGGCTTCACTTCGGTGGGCTAGACCTCATTTACATGGTCATAGATCTTCTTTCTTGAAACTACAAACTGCAGCAAAGGCATAAAATATGGAAAGGATGCTGGTGCCTCAGGTCTGGTTCCCTGGGAGTGAAGCCTGAGACAGGGGTCCAGATATGTGGGATTTGTCGAGGGAAGGACTCAGGAGAAAGGGAGTGATGGAAGTCAGGCAGGGAAGAAGCTGAAGGAGGATGCGTTCACAGCGGTCTTGTCTCAGCCAGAGACCCCAGGGTTCTGAGGTATGAATTGTACAACATAGTCCCCAAGGGCACTGGCCTCATTGGCTCCAGCCTGGGCCATGTGTGTGTATGCACACAGGCATGTATGGTACGTGCACATGTGTGTGTGTGGACGCATGTGTGTGTGTATGTAGGTAGTGGGCATGTAGGGGTGTGTGTGTATGTGCATGTGTATTTAGGTGAGTAGGGCTCCACAGCCCCTGGGCAGGGCAGCTCCTACCTAGTGGAGGGCAGTCCTGCAGAGAAGGGGAACCTATAACAGGTACACCTCTCATCTAGAGAAGGAGGTCGGTGTGGGGCACAGTAGGGTCCACAGGGACAAGGAAAATTCCATTAAGATCTAACCTGTATCCCTCTCACTTGATACAATACCTTATCCAGCAACAGAAGAGAATGTGGAGTTTCTGTAAAGGAATGCCCCACCCCATCCAAATCATTTATCTATCTGTAGATGGCTGGGAATTTCGAGGATTTATCTTGTCACAATGAAGGAATGATTATAAAAGCAATGTGTGGTATTGGGCTCAAATATTTACTGAGCCCTCTCTATGGACTCTTTTCTATGTGCTTCAAGGGACATAAGCGGAGGGAAGTAGCTGGAAACCTAGTTTAGGGTAAGATAAGAGCACAGCTTTTCACGTGGCAGCATGCACTTAGGACTGAGGGACAGGTGCAGGATGATGGGACAGTGGGCAGAGGGAGATGGCACCCAAGGGGTGAGAGTGGCCTCAGCAAAGGCTTCTTCCCAGAGACTTTAGTGGGCCTGCAGACTTTGAGCATGGTTTGAGATGCCTGTGGTGGGGCCTGTGTCTGTCAAGGCAGGCTCTGTATGTGTGGCAGGTAGTACTTCTCTTAGGCTTGTACCCCCATGCAGATTTCACCTTTTTCTCCAGGGGGTGTGAACTCCAACACAGGAACTGTTAGGGGATTGAAGTCAGCTGGGGAAATGTAGGACCCCTGGAGGGCACAGCTCCCACCCAGCACCAGCCACCTCCCCCCACAGAGGTGCAAGCCAGCATGGCCAGATTGTCCCATCTTTTGAGAGGGGCCACAAATCTGGATATTTATGTGACATCTTCACACTTTTCAATGCTAGCAATTAATTCAGAAATTGCTTAAACATTGTGCGGGTCAAACACAGCGCATCTAAGGGGCAGACCCAGCCTCCTGACTGCTGGTATGTGGCCTCCATCTTTAGTCAATGGCTTCTCCCCTCACTGACCTGGGCAGTTTGCGTCCTGCCAGGGGCCACGTCCCGCAGACCTGCCCCCTCAGGTGAGGAGGGCACTGGAAGAACACTGGGACGGGCATGGATACAGTGGGGACTGGGTATGGTGGGTGCAGTCCCCTTGTTCCACAACCCACCCCAGGCCAAGTCGGAGCCTATCAAAGCTGCCCACAGGATGTTCTGCCCTGGAGGACTCACAGCTTGCTTTGGTCACCTCTTAGCTTTCCGAGGAGATCCAGTGCTCACTGGCCAGTCACATCCAGTCCCTGGTGAAGTCGGAGAAGAACCGCCAGGTCATGTGCGAGGCGGGCATGCTTGGGACCCTCATGGCCTCCTGCCACAAGGCCCTGGCTGCCAGCAGCAGCCCCCTCCACTCACGCCTCATTAGGATCTTTGAAAAGCTCGCTTCCCAGGCCATTGAACCAGATGTGCTAAGGTACCGCAAGCTGCATATTCAACGCCGCCAAGCCAGGCAGCCATGCCCTTTGCAGGGCAGGGGTTGTGCAATGGGCAGTGGAGAGATTGCAGGGACAGGTGCGGGGCATGGCTCTGTCCTGGCATTCAAGGCTGGAAGTCCATGGCCAAGCCTTGGGTCTGTGCCAGGCAGTGGGCAGGCGCCCACAAAGCAGACATAGCCCCCTTCATGGAGCATGTGGGGGCCAGAGGGGGCTCCAAGGAAGTGGAGCTGGACTCTGAGGCCTGCGCAGTTCTCTAGCCAAGGAGAGGAGGGAACTGGGCCTGGAAGGCTCTGCTGGGAGGGTGGGGCTGGGAGGGCCTGACTGTGCCCTGTAGGGAGTTGGGAGATAAGTAAGCAGGGACTGCAGACAGGGAGGGGGATGGGGCAGAATTCCCCTGGATCCTGCTAGGGGCTTTCCTGCCGTCAGCCCCTACATGAAGCCACATTCCTTGAGAGCTATGGCAGGGAGAGAAGGTGCAAAGGCGCAAAGGGTGAGAAGCAGAGGGTAGACCTGAAAGAAAAGGGACAGAGGGAAGGGAAGCTGCCGGGGAGGGCAGGAGTCTCCCATGCCACCTGGAGTGCCTGCTGAGGGGCCACACAAGGAGCAGGGGGCCCTGCTGCTTATACACAGGAATAAGCGCAGAGGGCACACAGGCAGCCCTTGCAGCCAGCAGGCGTGGGACCCAGGGGCAGGCACATGGCTGCCAGAGGAGACTGCCGGTTATAGTGCTGCATGGAAATTCCATCAGAAACTTATAAACAGTTACGACAAATTTATTTCGTGACAAATTATTTTTTGTTACAACATCTGCCTTGAGGTTCCTAAACTTACCAGCTGTCTGGTCTGGTCTGGCTGGCAGGGCAGAGATACCCCGTCTTCACAGTGCTTTCAGAAAGCATGCTCCAGGGGGCCAGGAGGGAGGTCCAGGAGCCCTGGGCATCTAGAACCGTGGTCAGGATAAAGTTGGAGAAAACTGTTGCCCGTAAAATGTCTTCATTTGGTTCTCTTATGTTATGTTCAGACAGTTTCTAGGCCTTGGAATTCCCTCACCTCTGTCAGCCACAACGAAAATCCTCGATTCATCTCATTCTCACAGAGGCAACCCTGGGCACTCAGGTGAGGCAAGAACAGGGCAGGCTAATGGGAATGAAAAGATGATATGCATTCCTGCTGAGGGATCCTTCACAACAGGTGGGAAAGCAAACAGGCTTAAACATGGTGTTTTTTGCTGCTCAATGGAGCAGCTAAGGAAGAAGCAAAGAAATTTGTGGTCTTTGAACAAAGACCATCTCCAGATGGAGAAAGATGACCCCCCACCCAGGCATATAAGACAGATGACCCCTTTGGGTCCCAGATCATGGAAGCAGAGACAGAGTTTCCTTCATGACACAGCAGTACCTGGCGGTGCACTAGACAGAGCTGTGGAGGGAAGGCTTCTGCACAGCTCACACTCAAGGGCACATCAGGGCCTTGGAGGCCCAAGATACAGATGGTACCCCTGTGTCAGGCCTGGTACCTGGGGGATGCTGGCACAGGAGACCAGCTTAGAGAAAAGAAAGCAATGGACACCCTGAATGTAAGATCACATAGGACCTTAAGGTAACAGGCAGGCCCAGTGGAGAAGCAAGCGTGCCAGATCAGGGTTGGGGCTGGCAGCCGCTGTGGGAGCCCAGAGCTTTCAAGGAGATAGGCTGCTATGAAGGGAAGTGTGGGCTTGGTGAGCAGATACAAAGCCCCAGTGAGTAACTCCAGGGGGACAAGCCAGGGATGGAGATGGTGGTAGAATATGCTATGCTGGAAAGGAAATGTGTGCTGGAATGAAAGAGAAAAGTTTCTAGAAGGAGCAGGTTAGCAACACCATTCCTTGGTTCCTTGTCATCAGGCTCAGCAGGGGGCCTGGACCGGGGCCCAGGGAGCTGCCCTCACTGGTGGTTAGGAAGTGCCTGGTGACTCTGCAGAATTCTTTCTGGGCTGTGGTAGAGACTTTCGGGTTATCGTCAGAAGTGGGGCAGAAACGCTTTGAGCAGAGACACATCTCTTCTCTTGCTTGCTGCCCTAGGGTCACGGACTGCACAGGGCTCGGCTGAGGGGCCCAAGGGAGCTGCCCCAGATGCTGGCCTGCACCCTAGAGTCACACAGGCCCCGCCGCCCTTGGAGGAATCCCAGGATTCAACCACTGCCCTTCAGACGGCGCTGAGTCTCATCTCCATGACCTCCCCACGCAACCTGCAGCCTCAGAGGGCAGCCCTGGCCCCGTCATTTGTGGAATTTGACATGTCCGTGGAAGGTTATGGGTATGACAGGCTTTCACATATTTAAAATACAACTCATTAATTTTGCAGTGCTCCTGATGAATTATAATATTGATTACAAAGTTGTAGTTCCCATTGAATCTCACCACTCAGCAGAGGACAATGTCTGGGTCATGGGCATCTGCCTGCTCAGTGGCCTCCCACGGGCTGTGTTCTCAGCTATGGAGGGCCAAGACCCTCCTTCCCCTGGTGTGGCTGCATTCTGGAACACCCTCCAACCCTGCCTCCACTGCAGTTTCTTCCCTTAGGCATCTTACCAGCACCAGCTGCAATCCATCTTTGGGACCCTGTGGTCTAAGGAGGGTAACAGCGCCAGCAGGAGGGTAGGATGGGACAATGCCATGGCCCACACTAGCTGTGTCAGTGTGAGACACAGCTTGCAGTCCAATGATCTGAGACACTTTTCTGTTTCCAGCTGTTTGTTTATCCCGACCCTGTCGACTGTTATGGGAACCAGCACTGAATATTCTGTCTCTGGAGGAATTGGGACAGGTAGGTGTTTTTCCCAGGTGATTTAGCTCTCCATCCCTTTCCAAGAATGAGTCTTCACGTAGCCTTGATTGCAGATTTTTAGTTGGTGCTTCAAGAAAATGCAGCTGCGCCGGGCATGGTGGCTCACACCTATAATACCAGCAATTTGGGAGGCCAAGGCCAGAGGATTGCTTGAGGCCAGGAGTTCCAGGCTGCAGGGAACTATGACTGAACCCTTGTACTCTAACCTGGGCTACAGTGCAAGACCCAGTTTCAAAAAAAGCAAGGCAAACATGAGTCCTCCCTTTGGTCCTGAGTATCTGCAGATGACTTGTCCTTCAACTTTGCTCTTCTTTTAGAGCAAGGGGTTCTGTTTATTGGGCTTCCCAAGGGTCCAGCCCATAGCTAGGGACTCAACTGGCACTGATGGACCGAGCCTGGGTTTGGCTCATTTTGCTGGTGACTGATGTAGGCTGAGATGGACACTACCTGCCTTAGATCTCTCTGGAGAGAAATATGAGTTGGGCTGATGGCCATTGAGAACAGACCAATGTCCGGCAAGTGGCCCCTGTGCACAGGACTGCACTCAGCTGAAAACCTGCTGGGCAGGACAGTGCGAGCACCTGGTGCCACCTGAGCCACACACTCTGTTAGGATAATTGGGTTTGGGGTTTCTATGTGGGCGTGGATGCTGGGGAGCCATTGCCTTCATGACCTCTTTCCATGTGAGATGGCACCAAGTCTGAGGACACAGCAGCTGATCCTGCCTGTTCCATGAGGCCAGAGGACCTGTCTGTGTCGCCAACCCTGTTATGGGATGGGAGGGCACATGGCATCCTTAGACTGGCGCTCTTTCCTATCCAAGGTTCAGCTGAGCTAGGCCAAAGTCCTCTACCCGACAGAGCACACTGTCTGGCTGTAGATCAGCTGACCTGGGGCCCACATGTGACGGACCTGAGGGAGATTGAGGTCCTCTCTGCTTCCTTGGCAAGGCAGAGTGCCACGATGGAGAGGAGATAACTGGTGATTAGGCAAGGCACCCAGTAGGTGCTGCACCCAGGCTAGATCAGCACCACAGTGAATCTGACCACACTTGCTAGGTGGGGCAGAACAAAGCCTGAGGGCATGCCTGTGTTCCCACCCAGGTGCCGCCAGACCATTCCCTCCTCCCGGAGGCCTGACCTTCTCCTGCTGGTTCCTGATCAGCCATCATGGAGCTGCCACTGAGGGCCACCCACTGCGCTTCCTGACGCTGGTGCGCCACCTGGCCAGGACCGAGCAGCCCTTTGTCTGCTTCTCCGTCAGCCTCTGCCCAGACGACCTCTCCTTGGTTGTTTCTACAGAAGAGAAGGAGTTTCAGCCTCTGGGTAAGGTGCTGGAATCCAAAGCCAGTTTCATCCACATGTGAGGGAAATGGGGCTAAGTCAGAAGCCCTCAACACAGGTGTGATTTGAAGCCTGGTGACCTCCTGTTTCTCCTCATCCTTTGAAATTACTCCCTTGGGTTCCACACCTGGTGAAAGGTCTACAATATTTGTTGTGGTTCACTATGACCTGGGCTCCGGGCTTGTAACTGTCAGGAAAACGAGGCCCCATCCCTTGGCACAGCTTCAGAGGTGATGCTCAGTGGCTTTCCAGAAGCTTTGTCCCTGCACAACAGTCACAATGGGACCTGGGGCTTTGCCTCACTGGGAGACAGGCTGTATCCTCTCCTGACCAAGGTTTTTGAAGAACACACACAATTTAGCTGGAGCCAAAGCAGCTACAGACATGCCCACATATGCTTAACCCCAAACCCAGAAGGCTGGCCCATGCTTGGCATGGCGCCCAGGGCAGCCCCTCCTTTGGCAGTGCTAGAGGCTGGCTCTGGCTCTGCCTTTTGGAGTCCAGCATTGTTCTCTAGGCTCATTTTCCTGAGATGGTCAAGTCCAGTGGATTCTAGCCACTTGTTCTTCTCCTGTGTCCTGAGAGTGTCACTGTTTCATAGAGAAAAACAGTGGGAGGCTCTATAACACAGTGGGAGTGGCTGACACCCTTGCACACAGCGCAGCTGCCTATCCAACTCCCTGGGACTCAGCCCGCCATGGCGTCCCTATGGAGGTAGTCTACCTTGGGGTAGACCTGAAGACTGGCTTCTGGGTTTGAATCCTGGCTGCATGACCTTGGGCAAGTCACCAACCTCTCTGTGCCTCAGGTTGGTAAATTGGGCATGTGACAGCACCTACCTCACAGGGCTGCTGTGAACATGACCTGAGTTGATATTTGTAACATGCTTAAAACTTGCCCAAAGGAAGATCTCAAAGAATGATTGCTGCTGCTATTGTCATGTTTCATGAGTGGATGGCTAAGGGCTCCATAGTACAAGGCCCACAGTGGTTGATGTCTCTCTACCCTCCCTGTTCTCCTGGGTTGCTGCAGCATGGTACCATGTGTGAGACTCAGTGTTTATGCTGTCTTCCAGATGTCATGGAACCTGAGGATGACTCTGAGCCTTCTGCAGGACGCCAACTTCAGGTCCGGTGTGGCCAGCTCCTGGCTTGTGGTCAGTGGCATCACTTGGCTGTGGTTGTCACCAAGGAAATGAAAAGGCATTGTACAGTTTCCACCTGTCTGAATGGACAGGTCATTGGCTCCGCCAAGGTGAGATGGCTCCTCCAAGTTGCACTTTCCCCACAACCATACCTCCTGCTACGACCCTGAAGTGACCTCCGTTTCATTCTGTGTTGTGTTGTTGTTGTTTGTTTGTTTGTTGCTAGTGGGGTTGGCATCTAATGAAATCCCCCTCGCTGTTCAGGAAACTTGGCTGAGCTCAGACATGAAAAGGACATGTTTAGAAAATGCACTGAAGGCCACACAACCAGGGCAGAAGGGAAGATGAACGTCCAGATCTCTAAGAATAGTCATGCTCATGAAGACAGAAAACTCCAGAATGAACAAAGCAAAGCTTCTCATTTTAAGGGGCAAATTCCTCAGGGAGGTCTGGGCAGGGTCTAAAGTATGACTTTTCTGGGAAGCTCCCAGGTGAGGCCAACACAGCTCATCTTTGCACCCCACGGAGAAGCCGGGCACTAGCATGTGCAGACACCATCACATGTCACCAGATTTAGAGCAAGAACCGTGAGGAAGGTAATGGAATGCGAATGCATAGCTGGAGTGGCAATCTCATGACTGTCACTTAGAGACACCTCAGGCACAAGAGGAAGCTGGAAGAAGATGGAGCTGGCAGGAGCCAGCAGCCATTGTCAGGGAGGAGAGGGCCTGGAAGGCCACAGAGGGCAGGTACAGCTGGATTTTCATACAGGTTCCAGGGGAGTGTCCCAACCTGGCAGCATTTTAGAATCACCTGCAAAGATTTTTAAAAGCTCTCTTGCACAGGCTGCACCCAGAACAATTGTCAGAATCTCTGTGGGTCAGGTAATTTGACAGTTTACTAATATTTATAAAATTTTCTAGGTGATTCTAATATGCAGCCAGAATGGAGAACCTTACATACACAGGGTTTCTTGATTCCCACTAAATGCCGTAGTATTCCCCCACCCCCGGTCCTGCTCAATTATGACTACCAATAACGTCTCCAGATATTGCCAGGTATCCAGTGGAGGCAAAGTTGTTCCAGGTTAAGAGTCATTAGGTTGGAACAACCTAAATTCTGTGGGACACATATAGGTGAATTTGATACCATCTTCTGGTAAAGGTCTGTTATAAAAAAAAATGGCAGTGGTGACCAGAAAGATATTTTTTTTTTCTTTGAGACAGAATTTCGCTCGTCACCCAGGCTAGTGCAATGGTGTGATCTTGGCTCACTGCAACCGCTGCCTCCCGGGTTTAAGCGATTCTCCTGCCTCAGCCTCCTGAGTAGCTGTGATTACAGGTGCCTAACACCACACCCAGCAAATTTTTGTATTTTAAGTAGAGACGGTATTTCACCATGTTGGCCAGGCTGGTCTCGAACTCCTGACCTTAGGCGATCTGCATGCCTCGGCCTCCCAAAGTGCTGGAATTGCAGGTATGGGCCACCATGCCCAGCCAACCAGAAAGAGTTTGATAGGAGCATTGAAAAAACAGGTCCTCCAAAACATAGTTAACTTTTTCTCCAATTATTAACAGTGTCAGTCCTTCCTCCTTTCCTTTCTCTCTTTTTTTTCTCATTAAATATTTCTTGAGCATCTATTACATGTTAGCTAATGTTTTAGATGCTAAGAATTATTTATGCCTATAAGCCAAAGACCTCCAGGAACATACATATACCATAAAATAAAAATTAGATTTAAGCTGCCTATAGTGAGAGAGTCCCTACCCTATGGGTAGTAAGGAGCTTGTAGTGACTTGTTACAGAATCTGGGCTTATTTTAAGTGGGTTTAAAGAAGTGGAGGTCCATTTGTTCTGAATTGGGTGCTGTTGGAAAGAGGTGCAATTTGGTGACTGTGAATGTTAATAACTTTTATCCAGAAGGTAGAGACACGGAGCAGGGCTGGACTCATCATTGGAGAGGAAGCAGAAGTCCCTCACATTAGCTGGGATAGGAGGTGTGGTGTCTTTGTTGTTGCAATACCTTTGTTTTTATCTGTTCAGGCTTGATTACCGAGTGCACTTGGTCTTGTCTTCTTTCACAGAATATGTTGATATTCTGTGAAATACTTCGTATACCTTGAGGCATGTCTTATTGATGTTTGTACCTTCCATGAACTTGGCATAGGGGCTGACACACAGTGAGCATGCAATAAACACTTGATGAACTGAATTGAATGTACAGCCACAGGAGGATCAGGACTGGCTGGTAGTGTGGTTGGGTGAATCTGTACAGGCAATAACATCCTCCCTGTAGGACCTCCTGAGCCCAGGGCCATCAGCAGGGAGGTCAGGAGTGGTGTGTTGCTAAAGACCGACAGAGTCTGCTTTCCAAAATAATCTCAACAAGTTGGGTCAGGACCAGCAAATGAAACTCAACTGCGATAAACGTAAAGGCCTGTGTTTTGATGCAAACATCTGTTGGGCAAGAGTAAGATGTGAGAACTTCAGCTTAGTTTGACTAGCTCAACAGTCTGTCTCAAAATGCTGAGCCTTTGATTTTATTGCCAAAGGAAACTTAGATAAATTGGGAACGATATGGAGCATTTTAACAGCTTGAATTGGGCAAAATGATTTGGGAACGATCTGAGACATTAGACATCTCATAGTCAACCTGAATGGTGCAGTGAGCATATACTGGGAATTTGGGAAGAGAGGGGCAAAGTGGTTTGGAGGGGTGGGTAGTGCTTCAGTGTGGGAGAGAGAAGAGGACTTTGCTGCCAGCACAGAGAGAAGAGGGTACAGAAGACTGTACTCCTGGCAAGGCGCGGTGGCTGAACAATTGATTTGTCTTTATTTGAAAATCTCATTTAATTGGTAGGGTGAAAGAGAGTATTTCTGAAATTATGTAAACTCTCGTTTAGAAAAATACAGTCATCCCTCAGTTTCCTCAGGGGGTTGGCTCTAGGACCCCTCCTGGACACTAAACTCTGTAGATACTCAAGTCCCTTAAATAAAGTGGTGTAGTATTTGCAAATAAACAATACACACCCTTCTGCATGCTTAACTAAGCTCTAGATGATTCATAATACCTAATACAATGTGAATGCTACATAGTTGTCATGCTGTATTTTTAATTTATATTTTTGTTGTTGTAGTACTATTTTTACTGTTATTTTTCCTGAATATTTTTGATCCAAAGTTAGTTGAATCTGAGAGTATGGAACCCCCAGATATGTAGGGCCAACTGTACATATTTATAAACATATTAATATATACAGTGATTTTATAGTAATGAGAATAATGCAAATGCATTTTGAAATAACTCAGAAATAGAGAAGAGAAGATTAGCTACCCTCCTGCTACTTTATCATATTTTGTAGTTTCAGTTTTATCCCTTTAAAAAGATAGAGTGATCTCACTGTATAGAAAATCTCAAATACTACTTAGTTCATGTAACCTCTCATTTAACCTAACACTTAGGCTATATGTGATAGCGTATTGCTCCCAGGCTACAAACCTATACAGCATATTGCTATACTGAATACTGTAGGCAACTGTAACACAGTGGTGAGTATTTGTGTACATAACACTCTAAACACAGAAAAAGTACAGTATAAATATGATATTATTATCTTATGTACTGCCATTGCATACATGAAACGTTGTAATGTGGCCACAGCAATATATGGAAGTATGCTTGGAAATTCATCCAAACTTTTGCTTGTATCCACAGTTCATTCTTTTTTATTTCTGAGTAGTATTTCAAGGTATGGATGTGCCATAGTTTGTTTAGCCATTTATTGAAGGACATTTGGGATGTTTCCAGGTTTTGGATATTATAAATAAAGCTTTGTGAGCATTTGTTTACAGGTTTTTGTGTGAATTTAAGTCTTCATTCTTCTGGGATGAATTCCAAGGGTTCAATTGCTGGTTTCTATGGTAATTGAGTGTTTAGTTTTATAAGAAACTCCCAAACTATTTTGAGAATGATTGTATTATTTGACATTTCCACCAACATAGATTAGTGAGGGTTTTTCTGCGCTTAGCATTGTCACTATTTTTATGTTAGCTGTTATGATAGTTGTGTAGTGATACCTCACTGTTTTTAATTTGTACTTCCTTAATGGCTAATGAGGTTGAACATCATCTTTTCTCATGCTTTTTTGCCATCTGTATGTTCTCCGCAGTGATGTCCATCCATATTTTTTGCCCATTTTCTAATTGCATTGTTTGTTTGTTTGTTTGTTTGTGTTTGAGACGGAGTGTCACTCTGTCACCAGGCTGGAGTGCAGTGGCATGATTTCGACTGACTGCAACCTCTGCCTCCTGGGTTCAAGTGATCCTCCTGCCTCAGCCTCCCGAGTAGCTGGGACTACAGGCGTGTGCCACTACACCCAGCTAATTTTTGTATTTTTAGTAAAAACAGGTTTCACCATGTTGGCCAGGATGATCTCGATCTCTTGACCGTGTGATCTGCCCACTTTGGCCTCCCAAAGTGCTAGGATTACAGGCATGAGCCACCATACCCTGCCACATTGTTTGCTTTTTAAACTGTTGAGTTTTAAGGATTAAAATAATATATATGTATATGTGTGTGTGTTTGTATATATATATATATTCTAGATTCTAGTCCTTTGTTAGATATATAATTTGCAAGAATTCCTCCTAGTCTGTAGTGTGTCTTTTAATCCTCTTTCACATGGGTGAAGTTTCTGGTTTTGCTGAAGTATAATTTATTAGTTTTTCCTTATATGGCTCATGCTTTTGGTGTTGTTTGAAAATATTTTGCCTAGCCTGAGATCCTGAAGATTTTCTCCTATTTTTTTCTAAAAGATTTCTAGTTTTACATTTTACACTTGAGTTTGTGATCAATTATGAATTAATTTTTGTATAAGGTATAAGGCTTAAGTTCATTTCTTTGCCTATGGATGTTCACTTGCTCCAGTACCATTTGTTGAAGAGTCTATTATTTCCCAATTGAATTACTTTTGCATCTTTGTCAAAAATCAGGTGAGCATACTTATATAAGTTTATTTCTGGGTTCTCTATTCTGTTCCATTGATCTATGTGATTATCTTTATACCAATGCCACACTATCTTGATTTTATAGCTATATAATAAGTAAATTATTAGAGTAGTTCCTCCAACTTAATTCTTTTTTTTCAGAATTGTTTAAGCTATTCTAGGGCCTGTGCCTTCCCATATACATTTTAGAATTAGCTTGTTTATGTCTACAAAAAAATCCTTGCTGGAATTCTGTTAGGAATTGCATTATACCTTTTGATCAACTTGAGGAGAAATAAAATCTCTACTATAGTCTTTTTATCCATGAATCTGGTATGTCTCTCTATTTATATAGATCTTCTTTGACTTTTTCCATCATCATTTAGGAATTTTCAATATACAGAACCTGTACATGTCTTACTAATATTTCATTTGTTTGTGCATAATTGTAAGTGGTATTGTGTTTAATTTTAGTTTCTGTTTGTTTACTGTTAGCCTACAAAAATAAAATTTATTTTTGTGTATTGACCATGTATCCTGTGACCTTGCTGAACTCACTTATTAGTTCTAGGACATTAAAAATAATTCCTTGGAGCTTTCTACATGGACATGTCATCTGAAAATAGAAACAGTTTTATTTCGTCTTTTCCAAACTGTGTGTATGTAATTAATTTTCATACATAAAATTTTATTCATTTGCTAATACTAGACATTTAGATTCTTAGTAGAATGACTGAGATAAAACAGTGGACATTTTTGTGTTTCTTAATATTTTTATCAAATTTATTTTCAAAAGGACAGTGTCAGTTTCTTACTCCACATTTCATAACTTGTTTTTCTGCATGCTTCTCAGATTTGAGAATTTTAATTTAATTTTTAGATAAAATACATTTTTACTTTGAGATGAGAGTAAAATGCATCATGTCATATCAATTTGTATTTACTTGATTAACTCTGAGAACAAACACCACTCACTTTTGTCCTTCTTATTTTAACAGATGTTGTACATCCAGGCCCTACCAGGGCCTTTCCTTTCTATGGATCCATCCTCATTTGTGGATGTTTATGGATATATTGCTACCCCTCGAGTTTGGAAACAAAAGTCTTCATTAATCTGGCGTCTTGGTCCCACATACCTCTTTGAAGAAGCCATTTCAATGGAAACTCTGGAAGTTATTAACAAACTTGGCCCAAGATATTGTGGTAACTTCCAAGCTGTACATGTCCAAGGTATGGAGTGTTTTGATTTACAATGTTCTTGCTGATGTTAGTTTTTAAATGGACATCTGGTTATTTATATCATATTTGCAAAGAATAAGCTCAGTGTTAAGGTCAGTCATTAGGGAAGACCTCTGTAATTGGATCATTATATATTTACAACCCAGCAGAAAATGTCACAGGAAAGGAAATGACAATATCTTTAGATTTCAACTCCAAAGCATTTAATGGGGGAGAGGTGAGTTGGGCAATACCACCTGCAAAGAAAGAGAGAAGAGAATGAGATAAATAAGTTACATTGCTTTTAATGAAGAAGCTTTTTAACTAAAGTATACTGGTATCTTCAATTATTAAACAGGCAGACAAAACATCCACATTTTCATTATTGATTGTTGGTTATTCAAGCAGGGAGCATTGCCCTCTGTGCTCTGTCAAGTCAAAGGGGTCAGCTCCCATCTGGAATGAATGATAAATGAATCTATGTACAGTGGGCTGTATGTATTGAAGGGCAATTGAGTGCTGTTGAGCATTTCCATCTCCAGGCCCATGATGTCTTTGAATTTCATTTCCTGTGGCAAATGGCACTGGCCAAAGCAATGGGATGAGGTCAGGTCTAGAGCCAAAGTCTCACGAATTCTACATTCATGCCACCCTTCTCTACTAGCACATTGGCTCTCATTGATTTAGAGACCAGTATGTTAATTCAAACTGGGATGTTTGCCATGGCCGTGCAGCTCATTGAAAATTAGACATTTCAGCTCAGCCTATTTCAGGTCAGGTTTCTTGTCATTTAACATTTTGGTTTTAGGGAGTGAGGTTATATACTTGATATAATGTTTTAAGCTCTGGTAGTTTTGTACCCGGAGTGCCTCTGTTTTTATGATAAGATAAATATTGGGAGAGTTCTTCACAGTTTTCTTCTCTTTTCTTTCCCTCTTTCTTTCTTTCTTTCTTTTTTTTCTTTTTTTTTTTTCCAGAGTCTCGCTCCTGAGTAGCTGGGATGACAGGCATGTACCACCATGCCTGGCTGATTTTTTGTATTTTTAGTGGAGATGAGGTTTCACCATGTTGGCTAGGCTGGTCTCAAACTCTTGACCTCAATTGATTCACCCACCTCAGCCTCCCAAAGTGCTAAGATTACAAGCACAAGCCACCATGCCCAACCCAGAATTTTCTATAAGCATCTGGAAATAGGGAAAAACAAATCACATGCAAACATATAATGTGCAGAAACATGCAATGTGACAACATACAAATGTCATCTCATTGATTGCTTTGCTGTGTGACAGAGATATTTAATTATTTAATTGTATGAAGATTAATTTCCTTCTCTGTAAAGCGCGACTAGAAACGATTAAAGATGTGTTGTTATAGGGGAGGACCCGGACAGTGAAGCCACACCCCTTGTTGCAGAAGAAAGGGTTTCTTTTGGACTTCACATAGCCAGCTCCTCTATCACCAGCATAGCAGACATCAGAAATGCCTACAATGAGGTGGACAGTCGCCTGATCGCCAAAGAGGTACGTCTTCTAACTTCACGTGCTACTCTCTGTTGGACTCTCGGTTTCATAGCTTGCTTCAGCTTTCAGTGCTTACGTAAACTAATTCGTGTTTGCACATGTATAGATGGTTACACACATACATGTTTCCCACTTCATTTGTTAAAATATCCAATGCCTCCCCACTCCAAGACTAAGCCTTTTATTGATAATTATTCAGAAGAAATACAATAAATAAAAGAGTAACAACAAATTACATATTTTAAATACCTTTGCAACATTGAGAGCGCTATTGAGCTTCCCTTGTTCTGGGTGTTAATGACCCACTAACACTGAAAAATGTTCTTTGAGTTGCTGTTATTTTTTATTTTATTTTAATTTTTAATTTTTTTTTTTAGTGATGGGATCTCTCTATGTCGCCCAGGCTGTTCTTGAACACCTGGGCTCAAGTGATCCTCCCACTTCAGCCTCCTGACTAGTTGGGATTATAGATAGGAGTCACAGCACCCAGCATTGCTGTGATTAAAACAACAAACAAACAAACAAACAACAGTAAATTTTCAAAACAACAAGGAGATATGTTTGTAGATGGGGGTACCATTAGATTTACTTCCAAATTTTTGCATAAAGAGCTCTTTTGCTTACCACTGATGGAATGTTGCTGTTTTGTTTATATTCTCTTCACTGCCATGGACAGAGGGTATCCCCAAAAGGATGGGGAGTCAGGAACTAGGCCCTGTTGATCATGAAAGTTGTGCCTTAGCAGCAACACACCACTTTCTGATGCAGGAGGCCAGGATTCCTATCTCCTTGCCCCTTTGAAATCTGTAGAGATTGGGCTTGCAGAGCCTGAACAACCCTAGACTGAGAAGGTGGCAGCCCTCACCTTGGTAGCATTGTTCCATCTGAAACTGTCCTTGGGTCCCTCTTGCTCTTCCTAGCACCTCACTATAAGCACATGGACACTGGTGGCTCAGACTGTGTAACTGAAGCTGCTCACTTACAATTCAGCCACAGCTTGGGAGGCAGAGTGCATGAGCCTGAATTTTGGCTTCAATCCCCTGACATTGGTTCAATTGTTATTCATTCACTGATCATTGCTGATGGAGTATCAGCACTGGGCCAGACCCCAGAGGGCCTGCCCTCCAGGAGCTCTTGGACAATGCTTCTTTTGCAGGAGTTTCTTAGGACTAATAGCTGCTCATTTCTTTAGATGAATATTTCATCCCGTGACAATGCCGTGCCCGTGTTCTTGCTGAGGAATTGTGCTGGCCACCTGTCAGGGTCTCTGCGGACCATTGGAGCCGTTGCTGTGGGTCAATTTGGTATGTTCAGCTGGGAAGCTTTGACACTATTTGGGAAGCAAGGTTTGTGCTGTCACGGCTTGTGCAGCCTGGGTTCTGGAGTGGAGGCAGGATGGAGTATGCCGGAGAACCAGGGTGGGGAGGACCAGAGTTGGGAGTGAATCCAGTGAAAGAGCTAGCCTCCCAGAAAGCATGAGGGTCTATTCACCTGGCCACATCTGGCAATGAGTAGTGAGCTCAGCTACTAATCAGGCTGCTGTCTATGCACGACAGAAGCCTATCTAGTAAGCACAGTGGGCCTTTTGAGCAGAAGCACTGCTTGTGGTTGTCTGGGTGAAAACTGCTGGTCACCCTTCAACTGAGCAAGAGCAAGGCAACAAGTTGGTGCAAGTGTCCTCCCTAGTAGGATCTAGAGGACAGGCAAGAGCCAGAGGTTGTCAGAGCAATAGGAATACTGAGGCTCAGGGGTCTGGCTCATCCAGCACTCTGGAGTGAAGGCACAGGGTGGTAATCTGAAATACTCTGGGCTGTTCAGTCTTCTGATGGCAAAGAAAGGACTTAGCACAGTATCTCCCAGCCACCTAAGACTTTCATAGTCTCCTTCTCTTTGTCCCAGCCTGTCCCAGGTGCACAGACCCCTCTGGCTGTGGGTGGATGCTGGCACTGGCAGGTCACTGGCACTCATATGCTGTCGGGGCATTTCCTATCGCAATGAAGCTGTGATGTGTTGATAAAATGCCGGTTTTATGCCACACAGGGGTGAGGGTGTTCCACTGTAGCCCTGCTGCCAGCAGCTTGGACTTCATTGGCGGGCCTGCCATCCTCCTGGGCCTCATCTCCCTAGCAACAGATGACCACACCATGTATGCAGCTGTGAAAGTTCTGCACTCGGTTCTGACCAGTAATGCCATGTGTGACTTCCTGATGCAGCACATTTGTGGGTACCAGGTAATCCCATTTTCCTACCTGGGACTGGGACTCCTGAAAGGGCTGTCATCCCCAGGGAACAGGGATGAGCGTTGCTTGCCCCAGGGGCATTCCCTCCAGGGTGACTTCTGGAGAAAGGGAGCTGAAAGCCTTTGGGTTCTGAGACCAGCATCTTCGCAGCAGAGGAGGGGCAGGCAACAACCAGCCAAGAGCTCTGCCCCGGATGGGGATGCTTACCTAGCTGTGGCTTCTGGCCCTTCTAACTGAGAAATTCAAATGTCATTTGCAGTGGTCTCCCCACCTTGTCTGTAGCCTGGTGGCTGAGAGCCCGGGCAGCAGAGCAGACTGCCAGAGTTTAAATCTCATCTCTTCTTCTAATTTGCTATTTAACCTTAGATGAGTTACATATCTTCTGCCTCAGTTTCCCCACCTGTAAGATGTGGACTGTAATAGGGTTTCAGTGAGGATGAGATGATTTCACACAAGCCAAGAGATTAGAATTATGTCAGGCCCAGAATAAGTGCTAGGTAAATGTTAGTCATTTCTAGTTCTTAACCTCTTTGTGCCTCAATTCCCCCACGTGTAAAGTGGGGATATGAGAGCACCTGTCTTGCAGGGTTGTGAGGACTGAGTTCATGGGTATTGGGAGCTTAGAGGAGCGCCTGCGCAGGGGACCTGCTGTGCACGTGCTTACTGTGATTGTCATTGCTACTTATAATTGGTCAAGTCAGATGAGACATGGCTGCTGCCTTCGAGTAACTTCTCACATGGCGGGGAGGCGGCCAGGTAAGGAACTAGGTGGGTAAGGAACTAGGAGGGTAAGGACAAGGTCGGAGTCTGGGCCATGTCACAGGTCTCACAGGCAGTGGAGGCTTCTTCTGGTGTGGACGCTCTGGATGATTGGGGCAAAGTCTCCTGTGTCTCTGCCTACTGGGTCAAGGTCTGAGCAGAAGAAAGCTGTGTGATGGCCTTCCAGGCACTTTCCCTCTCTGCCTGGACTACTGCCACAGCTAGACAGTGACCCCTTTCCCCAGCCTGTTCCTGGTAGCCTACTGATGCCCCACATCACAGATCTGATGATGCCACTCCTTTGCGTAAAACCTTCAAAGGCGTCTGATTACTGATACCATATCCCAAACTCCTTAGACAGGTTTCCAAAGCCATTCAAAACTGCCCACGGACCTTTCCTTCCAGCCCCAACATTTCAGCCTATGCTCTTACCTCCTCAAATCCTGCACCTTCTCGGATCATTAAGCAGCATATGGCTTTGTGTGCCTGTGGCCTCCACTTGGATCACCTCTCCTTTCTACCCCCACACCACACTCCTTCTGCCTTTCCAGATCAAGCTCAAATAGCAAAGGCAGCATTCTCTTCCCCCAGCTGAGTGTGTGGCTGTCTCCTGGCCCCCCAGGCGCTGTGGGCACGACCCGTTTTAACTGCTCTCGCACCTACACTGGGATGATCAGTCTGCACATCTCTACTGGGATCTTCTAAAGATCCTAGTATTTTTTACTCTTTGCTGGTGTATTACTGACACCGTGAAGACACTCGGTACATATTTTGGGAATGAGTGAATGGGTATGTCTGAGTTTATGCTAAAACTCAAGAACAGGTGCTCTTGGTACACAGTTTTCCTTTTAATATGCTGTTAAAGGTTAGTAGTAGGATTTATTTCAATACAGCACAAGGATATGTGCTGTGGCTAAGGATTTTAATAATTATTGTGAGCATTTCTAAAAAGGCACATGTCAGTTCCTGCCCTCATGGGTGTATCTAGAAGGATAAAATGAAACAAGAACCAAAATAATTTTAACATAAATAAAAATGCAATCGGTGTCCAAGATTCACTTGAAGAATTCCTACCTATTCTGTGACTTCCTGGCTCTCTGGCTGTCTTCTCAGAAATTCTGAGCTGCTTAGAAAGTTCAGACCACCTCAGGCTCACTGCGGTTTCATTGCCCAGTCCCAGGGCTGGGGGTGGGCGCAGTGAGCTCTCAGTGAGGATTCAGGAATGAGAACATTGCTTTGAGAGAAGAAACTTTACCACAAAGGCACATAAGTGCATATTGTCACATGTAGGTAGAGGGATCATAAAAAGCTTCTTTAAAAAGGAAGCTCATCAAGAGGTGCCGTGGAGACTGGGCTGGCTGAGCCTTCCAGGAAGAGATGATGGAGATAGGGAGTGGCCCATGGATGGAATGTCTTTACTCAACTTCATTGATCGAATGCTTCCTAAGACCAGGCACTGTGCTAGGCCCTAGGGATGTGAGGTGAACAGGATGGGTTTAGTCCCTGGCTTCATGGGACTTACCACCCAAGAAGGTGGACAGAAAAATATTGTCAGCATGAGAGAAAGTCTCTCAGATACCTCCTTTGAGTAAATAACTCATCAGATTCAGAGATTTATTGTATATTTACACATGAAGGCAGAAGAAGAAAAATTTAAAACTTATTCTGTCTCTACAAATGAAACATTTCCAATATTTATGTCTTTGGGGAAAATCAGGAGAAGCTGGGTGTCAAGAGATGTGGGAAATGGCAGCTTCAAATGAAGAAAGAGGATTTGTTGTTGTTGTTGTTTGATTATTTCCTTGCCCACTCCATATAAAATGCAACCTCTGCCCTCCCTCATCCTTTTCTAGGCGCTTTTCCTTGCTTTGCGTTTCTTTGTAACCTGCAAGTGCATTTGCACGATGTCTGTTTCCATGTCACCACGATTGTGTCTGTTTCACCCCCAGACATGTGCTCCATAAGGGTGTGTGTCCTGCTTGTTTATTGCTCTGCCCTAAAAACATGCCATAGATTGTAGGTGCTCAGTTAGGATGTGGGAAAGAATCTGTGAATGAAAACAGGGTCTTCAATTAAGTGGCTTGCTTGGGAGTGGATTTCATCAGTTTTTAGGTTTTACTCTAGGCTCATCTGCTGGTTTACTGGTTAGGTGGAAGAGCATAAACCTTCCTATCTGTTATTTCTGTCAAACTGATTTATCAGCCTCTTCTCAGACTAGGCAGTAATCAGCTGAGTTTGATAGGATGGATGTTCTTAATGTGGGGAAGAAAGAGGATACTGTTCCAGACTAACATTAAAACACTCACAGGATCTGGTCCGGGCTCCTCCACACGGCTAGAAGGAGAGGATGGTTGTGGAGCTCTGCATAGCACGCCGGATGGAGGGTAGATAGTCATAATCTCGACAGTGTGAGGAGTATGTGTTCTGTCTCAGGTGATGGGAATCACAGGAAGGCTGGGATAGGGAAACAGACTGACCGATGTGTTAGAACACCCCTTGATGTCAGTGGAGAAGATGCAGCATGGGGATGAGATTCAAGCAGGGGCTGAGATAGAATCTGAAATGATAGGAGCCTATGTTCCTGACCTGAGGAGTCTCAGGATCTGTGAGCAGCCTGGGTAGGTGGCCCTGGAAAGGAGCCAGGGCAGTCCAGCAGGCTGCTGGCCCGAAGGAAGGGAGATGCTGGGACATGTTCAGCTGGAAATGTTTGTGAGACATTGAAGGTGAAGTATCATGTGGGAGAGAAGGCTCTGTAATTCAGGGGCCTGAGGCATAAATATGAGGGTCTTCCCGTAATGATGATATTTAATCTAAGGGAATGGATGAAATCGCCGAAAAGAAGCTGTACAGAGAGGAGAGGGTTGAGGAGCTAACCACATGGACCTGGGGTTATGATTAAAATCCAATAAAGGAGATTGAGAAGCAAGAGGGAAGAGAAACCATGACAGTTATGTCAAGGAATCTGAAAAAAGAACATGTTGAGAGAAGGTGGGTATGGTCCAACCATGCTAAATGCTGATAAAGAGCAGCACGAACTAAGGATGGAGACGTCCTCTTTGTATTTGGTCACCAGGCAGTCCCCAGTGGCCTTTCTGAGGGAGGTGGCCAGGTGGAGGCAGCAGCTGTCTGATGTAGGCTGAAAAGAGAATGTGAGGTGAGCACATGGAGCCAGGGTGTGTTGATAACGCTTTCTAGAAGTTTGCCTGTGAACAGGAGGAGCTGCGTAAGAGCTACAGGAACTAGGGATGGAGGGAGGGTTATTTTTAAAATGAGAAATACTAGAATATATTTGTACATGGAAGAAAGAGATCCAGGGTTGGGGAACTGGAAGTTTGGCGAGAACAGTTATCCCAAAGAGCAGTGTCCTTGGGATAGTGGCCAGAGGGATCCAGAGACCAGGTAGATGGGAGACTCTGCTTGCAACAGGAAGAAATGCAACACATGTATTTGTGAATTTGGTGGTGGGAAGACAGAGTGTTCATATCTGATGGATTCTATCTTCTCAGCAAAGTATGAGGTCAGGTGCAAGAGAGGAAGAGAGGTTAGAGGAGAGGAGAAGCAATGAAACCATGATCTTTAGGATAAGAAAATACAGCTTATTAGAAAGACAGAGTTGAACTGCCAGGCCCACTGAGTTTCAAATGTCAGTTTGACATTTGACACTGTTTGATGTAAAGTGAAGCCAGTCAACCTGAATGTTTTCTCATGCAACTTTTAGCCATCCCAATTATGTCTTGGTGTGGGATTTCATACATATATAAAAGAACAGTCTGGAAACATAATGAGTGTTTTCTGATCACCAACAAGGCTTCTTAAGGGCACGTTGCAAGAACATGTGTGGGAGGACAGGGAGAGAGGACAGGCTGTGTTGGAGCCAAGGATGGGGAATGAAGCCATGCATGGAAGGAGCAGAAACTCCAGATGCGGTGACTCAGATGCTAGTGGATGGCTGAGCAGACTGACTCATGTGGGGCTGAGTCAACAGAGATGTGAGGCTTGGTGGGACCCATCTTTTTAGTCTGAGACAAGCTGGGTCACCAAACGTACACTGGGACCCAAGTGCCTCCATGCTGGGAGGGAGGCTGCACGTTGCTGGCTTCCCAGGGGCTGGTGCAATTGACAGGCACATCTGGCTGGGTGCAGCCAGGCTCATGGGCAGGTGGTAGCTTCCTGTAAATGCAGCATTTGTGGGATGGTTATGCATATAAAGGATCCAGTAACAGAAAATGGGAAGGAGGTTTGAGGAGTGTGGGAGAAAACCAGGAGAGAGTGGCATTCTGGAAACACGGAAAAGATGCAGGGAAAGCAAAGGTCCCAGTGAGAAGTCAGGTCACAGTACAGAAAAGTTGACACTGTCAGCAAAGTGGCCACAGAAGTTAATATGTATTTTTCTTCTATGAACATGGTAATGTAGGATGGCAGCAGCAGAGAGCAGAGGGTTTGCTGACTGGACTGGAACACGTGGGCGAAGGGAGAGCTCTAATGATGCATTCATGAGGAAACTGCTTTGTGTTAACCTTTTCAGATAATGGCGTTCCTCCTGAGGAAGAAGGCTTCTCTCCTGAACCATCGAATTTTTCAGCTGCTCCTCTCAGTGGCTGGCACTGTGGAGCTGGGCTTCAGGTCATCTGCTGTCACCAACACTGGTGTCTTCCAGCACATCCTTTGCAATTTTGAGGTAAATCAGAGATTGGCCGCTAGCCCTTCAGGAGTGTGTGTGATGGTAAAATATGCTAAGTCTGGGCTTTCCCCTAAGCCCAGCACGTCAGCTTCCCTCATAGTCATAATGGTGGGGAGAGGAAAACCCACACAAGTTTGCCCAGAGGCCCTGGTTTGTAGTGACATCCTGCCACCTATGGGCTGTGTGGCTTCAGACAAATCTCTGGACCTCTCTGAGCCCCACTGTTTTTGTGGGTGAAGTGGAGACCTTCATCTCCTTCTTGCGGGCTATCGTGAGGGTTAAGCCAGATACTATCTGGGAAAGGATTTTTAAACTGTGAATTCTCATATACATATGAGAGTAAAGAAAAATGATCCCATTTCCTTTGGGTGGTGCTTTGCTGTTTCCAAATGATTTTTGAAGGAGGTGAGTTGAGGGATGCAGAAAAATGCGCCTGAGGCTAACTGAGGAGCATTGCTCGTAACTGCTTTGGGCAGAGCAACCCATTCACAAAACATCATTGACTGAGCATCCGCTGGGTCAGGTACTGGCCATGTCCTGGAAACACAGGGAAAACCAGAACCCAGGGCTTCCTCACAGCCAGATGGGCCCGGGACATGGCCAAGGTGCGACTGCAAGTGCTAGGTGCCACAGTGAGGCAGGTACAGGGCATCTGGGGAGTGGGAGTGAGTGGACAGTCAGAATTCGGAGGAAAAGAAACTTCCAGGTAGAGTGTATATGCTATTTGCAAATATTGTTCATCTAATTGAGAGCATCCATGGGGACTTGAGAGCAAGTGGCTTGCTGGGAGCCTACAGGTTTATGTTGCAAAAGAGGGAGAGAGAGAAGACAGAACCAAGGGTTTAGACTGCCCAGCCTGTGCTTTAGCCTGGTTGTGTTGAGGTCCTCAGGAGAAGTTTCAAAGTTCGTTCTTTGTTTATTAAAAATTGAAAAATGTTTATTATAGAATATTTTTAATTATAGAAAAGTGTGAGGGGGAAACTCTCCTATTTCCAAGACCTAGTTAGTTATTGTCAAATCTGGATGCATTCTATTGGAATATTTTCTATGAATAATACATTTCTAAAACCATAGTCATGATTATACTGTAGATATTACTTTGAGTCTAGTCTTTCCTTACACACCAAAAACACTTTAAAATTTTCATGACAAACACTTATAAGCACTGTTCTGAGATCAGAATAATATTCTGTTATGTTGAGAGTTCCTGGTTTCTTCATCATTCCTCTATTGTCAAGTCTTTAGATTCTTTCTATGTTTTGTTATAAATTGTGTAATAGATGGTACTGTTGTGCAAACATTTCTCCCACTTTTAAAAATGTTTCGTAGACTAAATTATCAAAATTGAATGATGAGAATAAAGGCTTTTGGGCAATTTTTAGATTATGATAAGTTTTACCAAACTTCTGATATTGAGGGAGGTTAACTGTAGAATGACATGTGAGAATTTTATTTTAGGTATGTGTCTTGGGTGACAAGAGCCCTGAAGCGGGGAAGATGGGTCATGAGATGACTGAAGTAATCCAAGCAGAAGATTTTGAAACCTCAACTGAGTCAGGAATAGTGGGATAATGAGGACAGTAGGTGAAAAAGTCATAACTGGAACCAGAAGTGACTTAGAGCCCAACGACAAGAGAAATACTATGTATTAAAACATTGCAGAGCTGCTGCTGAAGGCAGGACCAGGGGGAGACTGACATTCAGCAATACGTGTATTATGAAGAGAATACTCTTTGTGTAATATAGATCAAGATTATATTCAACTTCTAACGTCAGATAAAGAAGGTAGAGTGACCAAACAAAGTCAAAACTCAGAGAAAGAAGGAAGGAAACATATAAGTGAGGTCAGAAATTAATAAAATAGGAAAGAAAAAACACACAAAGGATCAACAAGGGCAATTACTGGTTCTCCCAAAACAGACAAACCTGTGTTAAGATTGGCCGAGAAGACAGAAGGCACAAATAAATAATATTAGGAAAGAAAAGGGAGAATACCACAGAAGAATGAGCAATTAGAAAGGCAACAAGAAAACTGGATGAGTAACTTTTGACAATAAATTAGAAAACTTAGCTCATTTGAACAATCTCATTGAAAACATAGGTTTTCAGAGCGTACTCTAAAATAAATAAAAAACCCCAATGATCCTAGAACCATCAAGTAAAGTGAGTCACTGGCTTAAAATCTGTCAAAACAAACAACAGCCAGAGGGGAACTCCAGGCTAAGCACTCATAGGAAAATTCCACCAGTCGGGAAATAGGTTCTTTCTAGAGGGAACTACTCCTGGCTTCTTTAACGAGGAGATAAAGAAGCCAGGAAGAGATAAAGAAGTTCATCTTGATAGAACAAAAGGGCATTACAGAAAAGGAAAAAGTACAGGCTAATCTTATTCATAAATATAGGTATAAGACCCCTAAATACGAGATTAGCCAGTTGAACCAGGCCAAGATGAATGTCCTGGTCCTGGATCTGAAGATGGAAAAGAGGATGGTGGAGGAAGCCAGCACAGCCTGGAGAACATGCTCCCTGTGCACAAGGGGAAAGCAGGCTTACCTCAATGGCCACAGGACCCCACTAAATAAAATAACATGTCTTGACTGCAACCATGGCTGCTCCTTCTGAAATGCTGTGGCCATGCTCAGGCAGCCTGGCTCCAGGGTGTCCTGGCCACCAGCATGGCCCAAGAATTACCCATGCAGGAACCCATCATGCTCCATTGCCTGCTACTAGAATGGCCATGGACACCACCCTATTCCACCCCACCCTGAATAAAACTACCCCCTTCAGGAGACCTGGTGCTTTTTGTTGTTGTTGTTGTTGTTGTTGTGTTTTGTGTTTGAGATGGAGTTTTGCTCTTTTTGCCCAGGCTAGAGTGCAATGGCGTGATCTCGGTTCACCACAACCTCTACCTCCCGGGTTCAAGTGATTCTCCTGCCTCAGTCTCCCAAGTAACTGAGATTACAGATATGCACCACCATGCCCAGCTAATTTTTGCATTTTTAGTAGAGACGGGGTTTCTCCATGTTGGTCAGGCTAGTCTCAAACTCCTGACCTCAGGTTATCTGCCTGCCTTGGCCTTGAGACTCTGTGCTCTTTTAAAGCTGGATTTAAGAAAACAATAAAAACCAGAAGCTAAAAAGCAAAGCAAAGTAAAACAAAATGAAATCAAACAAAATTTAAAGATTGAGAGGAGAGAATTTCAAAAAGGGAAAAATGTTTCCCAAATGTCATGTTCTGCCTACACCAAGTAAAGTGAGGAGAGAGATGCGTACACTGTATGTGCCCATTGGAGGTCACTGACAGGCTTAGTGACAAGTATGTTGTGAGGTCAGAAGCCACTCAGAGGTAAGGGGAAGCATAGGGAAACTGAAAGTGGAGGCAGTCGGTGGACTTTTGAAGAAGGAGCAAGAGGGAAGTTTCAGAACTTTTGGTTTTGTGTTGATGGGAGAGACTTAAGTCTGTTTGTAGGCTGAAGAAGAGGCAGAAAAACCCAGACAATTAAAATACTAGTGGGAGAAGAAACTGCTAATAGGACACATTCTCAGAGGGCATAGAGGGTTCAGAGACAAGAGAGTGGACCACAGGAGAGAGGGTGGGATCCATGATGACTATGTCAGGCAGACAGGAAGAGGAAGTTAAGAGGGAAGGAGAGACAGGACATCATTGAGAAGGGAATGGACAGGAAGCTGTGAGGGAGGAAGGTACAGGAGGTTGCTCAGGCAGGGAGGGACAGAAATGTGTGAGGGAAGGAGAGACCGGAGGTTGTGAGGGAAGGAGACATGGGAAACTGTTGAGGCAGGGTTGGACAGGAAGTTGTAAGGCAGGGTTGGACAAGAAGTTGAGAATCAGGGAGGAATAGGAAGTTGAGGGCTTCTAAGTCTTAGGTTTCTGGTTTCTTTCTTTTTTTTTTTTTTTGAGATGGAGTCTCGCTCTGTTGCTGGGGCTGGAGTGCAGTGGCACGATCTAAGCTCATTGCAAACTCCGCCTCCAAGATTCAAGCAATTCTCCTGCCTCAGCCTCCCGAGTAGGTGGGATACAGGAACCTGCCTCCACATCTGGCTAATTTTTGTATTTTTAGTAGAGAAGGGGTTTCACCATTTGGTCAGGCTAGTCTTGAATTCCTGACCTCAGGTGATCACCCGCCTCGGCTTCCCAAAGTGCTGGGATTATAGGCATGAGCCACCATGCCCAACCTCTGGTTTCTTAAAAAAGAGACTGGCTAGCTCATTTCTGAGAGTATGGCCCTCTCAGGGGTGGGGAGAGAGCAACACCTGAACCATTATCCACTTGATACTCAAACAAATCTAATCCAGACATCTTAATATAGCCTTTAGTACTGGCTTATGTGACACAGGATAACAACAAAAGATTCAATTATTCATGTTTCCCCAAATTCTGGTATTTGGTATTATGTAATTTCCTGAAGATCTAGGCAGCCTCAAATGGGTGTGGCAACTTATTATTGTTGCAGTGTTCTGGAAAGGAAATGCGGAAGGCAGGAACTTTTGTGGGAAGCGTAAAGGGTGCACCTTACTGTACTGATGGGTTCAGATCTAACTTTCTTAGTTCTCTCAGCCCATAGCCCCAAGCCTGGCATATCATTTGTTGAATGACTGCCTTCATAAATCAATATCCTAAGTGTGCAGGGCTCTTGGAGCCCTACAGACGTGTATATTGGGATGCCATGCTGGACATCCATACTTTCACTAGAGCTGCCTTCATCAATACCAGCTATTCCAAATGCAGCTGCCCTACCTCTGTGTGTGCCTTTGGGCAGTGGTTTTGCTTAAAAAAAGCAGGAAAGCTGTCACTCTATTCCTGGCTGAAGAACAATCCATTCATTTTTCCTTGTGTTACTCTGTATTCACTCATTCTTTTAAAAAATTTAATAGATCTTTACTAAAGATAGTGGCAGTTATTATGCTAGGCTCCAGGGATTAAAGAATGACAGCCGCTACCTTCACAGGTCTCCTGATAAACTCGTGTTCACTGGGATTCTTTTGCATTTCCTCTTCAGCAATAGTAAGCAAAGTCATGCATGCCTGCTTAGCTTCAAGCAAGGTTGAGGATTGACTCTATGGGTCACTACCTGTGGGTGGTGCCCATGGGCAACCAGTGTGGAGGCAAGGGAATGGGCATCATGGTCAGGTGGACTGACTTTGAAACCAGTCTCTGCCAATTAAAAAAAGTCTGGTGCCAGAAAAGTTACTTAGTGTCCCTGAGCCCACTCTTTCTAGCTACTAGATGCAGATAATAGGCCGGGTGCGGTGGCTCACACCTGTAATCCTAGCACTTTGGGAGGTGGAAGCAGGAGGAACACTTGAGCCCGAGTTAGAGACCAGCTTGGGCAATATGACAGTATCTGATCTCTACAAAAAATTTTTAACAGTTAGGTAGGCATGGGGGTGCACACCTATAGTCCTAGCTACTTGCAAAGCTGAGGCTGGAGAATTGCTTGAGCTCAGGAGATCAAGGCTATAGTGAGTTATATTTGGGCTACTGCACTCCAGCCTGGATGTATCAAAAACTAAAAAAATAAATAAATGTGGATAATAATGTTTGGATCTTTTTATGGCTCCTCTTGTCACCAGGAAATGCATCAGTTGTTAAGTGCAAGCTCTTCTTGTTGCTATAGGAGTGCACTCTTCCCATACCTGAACCTTGTATATTCTGGGCCTTAGGGATTGTCAGTATTTAGAGAAGAAAAATATTAGAGCTCTCTAAAGGGAAGTAGAAATAAGACATGAAGGCAGCCATCAATTCTGCCCCAGAAGGATCACTAGCAACTGCATTTCTTTTTTTTTTTTTTTTTTTTTTTGAGACGGAGTTTCACTCGTGTTATCCAGGCTGGAGTGCAATGGCGCGATCTCGACTCACCGCAACCTCCGCCTCCTGGGTTCAGGCAATTCTCCTACCTCAGCCTCCTGAGTAGCTGGGACTACAGGCATGCACCACCATGCCCAGCTAATTTTTTGTATTTTTAGTAGAGACGGGGTTTCACCATGTTGACCAGGATGGTCTCGATCTCTTGACCTCATGATCCTCCCACCTCGGCCTCCCAAAGTGCTGGGATTACAGGTTTGAGCCACGAATGAAAACAACCTGAGTGATCAACTTCACTTTCAGAATCTCAGTGAATTTCATACCTTTGTGCCACTTACAATTTTGTCACGCAGGAGACAACAATGTGGGTTGGGCTGAAGAATGTGTTGCATGCACAAATTGGGTATGTAGTCAATATAGTGTAAAACCTGAAAATCAGGACCTAGCTTCTATTTCCAGTCCTGCCACTTGCTGCTGGTGAGTGGAGACTGTTGCCCAGCTGGTCTGTCTCAGCCTCCATTTTCTCATCTGTAAAGCGGGAACATCATCATTTGTCTTGCAGAATCCAGGGAGGAGAGATGAGTTTGCAATATGGACACTTGGGCCATAGGTCCAAGGCTGAGCAGATGGGGGAGACAGTTAGTACAGGTGTCCTTGGTTGGAACTAGGCCCACATGAAGTGCCAGGTAGCAGCAGAGAGTGGGGAGAGAAGGCCTTCCTTTGGGGGAGGCACCTCTCTGCTTGGAGTGTCAGGAGAGCTGATCTGATTCCAGAGCTGGTACATTATGTTGGTGATTTCAAGTCAGAGGATCGCATGTGCAGCACTGATCTTCTCATGCTTCCCACACATCCTTCTTCTCCCACACCTCCATTTTCGCATGTGTTTTGTTCTGTCTTCCAGCTCTGGATGAATACTGCAGACAATCTGGAGCTCAGCCTCTTTTCCCATCTTTTGGAAATCCTTCAATCACCAAGGTAGGCTGAGTCTTGGCAGCCTGGGGATTAGAACTGAAGGCTGCCTTCCCAGAACAGAGACAGAGAGGCAGGAGGGCCAGTGGCTCTTTCCTACTCCCAGAACACTGGGTCCCCAGCTGGGAGCACATCCTTCCCAGGGGCTCAGGTTTGTGGGGCAGTCTCCTCTGATGGTCTTGGGCCTCAGGAGGGCAGGTGCTGGGGGCTCAGTGGCTTCTCTAGCCCCAGGAACTAGCATATACTGGGGACTCAGCAAATGTGCTCAGCAAAGCCTCACTCTCCCTCTAACTGACTTCTCCAAGGCACTTTTGCAATTAGTCAGGGTTCTTTTACTTTTCAAGTGGTTGAATTACAAGTCTTCAAGTGGCAGAAATACAACTCAAACCAGCCGAAGGAAGATAAAGAGGAGGAAAGAAGGAAAGGAGGAGGAGAAAAAAGAATAGAAGAAGAAAAGACCAATAAAGAGGGAATTTGTTGGCTCTTACAATTGAAAAGAGCTGATCTCATCCCGTGGCTGGGTGAGGCTCACACCATTTTCTCTGAGTTCTGTCACCACTCTTGTCTCTGCCTCTCCCACGCAGTCTTCAGGTTGCCAGGTTTTCTCCTGTGGCAGCAAGGTGGCTGCTGGGCAGCTCCTCAGAGCACATCCTCAGCTTAGCACCATCAGCAGAGAGATGGCTTTTTGAAAATTCAATAGTCCTAGGTATTGGACTGAGTCTCACTGAGCCAACTTGGGTCCTATGACCAGGCTGGGAATGTGGCTTCCCCCTGGAGTTAGAAAGTAGTATTTCCCAAAGGGATCCAGGTACTGGGATCAGAATAAGGGAGAAGGAAGGCAAAGAAGCCTGCAAATCACCCCGCCTGCCTCCTCCTGGCTCAGGCTGGTCTAGAGATCATTGATGCCTTCAGCATTTTGAATGTATTTATAAATGGCTTTCCACTCAGACACTTAATGAACATCTATTATAAACTTACTACGTTTCACACTCTGTACTTGGAGATGAAATTCGGAGAAGAGTAAGCCACAGTCTGATGAAAAGAGAATACAGAAAAACATGCTGCTCAGCGCTGTCAGAGGAAACAGAAGCAAAGGCAGCCAGGACTTCTGGATGGAGGAGCACCTGTCTTCCCTGCCGAGCCTATGATTATAAATCACACACAGAATTGGGCTGGTCTTGCCTCTTTTGTTTATCTGGGAGGGGGAGCTCCGCAGAATATAATGTGTTAATACTCCTCCAAAAAAAAAAAAACAGTTCAACGTGAGCAATCTGGCCAGTCGCCCTCCTCCACCTGTTTTTCTCTTCCACTTTCCACTTTCTTCCTGTACCTGGACCAGTCATTTTCTAAGAAACAGACATTTGCCCTGGGAGCTGTTTTCTTTGGGGAAGTAGAATTTACTGGAAATTGGATTTGTGAGTATCCGAGGGAGGGGGCGTGGATAGGTGGATTCTGTCTTTTTCTCCTTTGACTTTCAGTGGCATGTCTCTCCACTTTGTGGTTTGGGGCGAGCAGGAAGATCACACACCCAGACAAGCTAGTGAAGGGCCCCGCACGCCTGGCTGGTGGGAAGTACTCGTGGGTCACATGAGTGTCTGCTGCCTTTGTTCTGAGTTTTCTGAGGCCAGCACTAGTTTTCCCTGAGGCTCAGAATTTAAAAGTCAGTAATTGGGGTTTGTCTTTGAAGGTGGTTTCCGGGGGGGCGGAGGGGACAGGCGGGGGCACACCCTAGCGACTCTGGTACTTGGCAGACACATATTGAATGGGTTTCTGACAGCATCTTGACAAATTGCCAAGAAAGCATTGGAATCAGGGGGCCATGGAACAAGCCTGGCTTGAAAACCCTTTTTAGCAGAAACACAGCAAATTTGGTTCATTCCGGTAAAAGCTTTTACTGCTTCTCTCTTGTACTCACCAGGGAAGGACCCAGGAATGCTGAAGCTGCCCACCAGGCCCAGCTCATACCCAAGCTCATCTTCCTCTTCAATGAGCCGAGCCTCATCCCTTCCAAGATCCCCACCATCATGGCCATCCTGGGATGTCAGCTGAGGGGCCACTTCAGCACCCAGGACTTGCTCAGGTACCACACCAAGCTGCCCAGGGGAAGAGCAGGGCTCCAGGGCTGTTTAAAAATGGAGGACAGGCCCCAGCCGTCTCCCCACTGTGCTCAACCTTGCATCACTTGGAACCTTCTAGGAGTCTTTGTCTAGGTCTGAGAGTTGGGAGAAGCGATGGTTTGCTGAAGTCAGGATGGGACAGGCAGGTTTCCTCAGCAGGGCTGTGTGTTTACTGTCCTCCCTGCTCAGACTCCCCCACTGTGGCCAAATATTCAGGAATTTACAGAAGCACTGCCTTCCTTGCCTGCCGACGACCCATGTGCCTGGCTCCTGCAGACTCCTGAAGGGCAGTCCCTGCCACCACTGTGTTTCCCCTTCCCTTCCCTTTCCTTGTCACTGTTGGATTAATCTGGTAGTGACAGAGTTAGCATCTCTGGTGAATCCTGACTGATTTCAGAAGTTTCTGGAAATACCACAGCATGCCATGATGATTCCCCTCAGACTCTCACTTGCAGCTGCACGTGGGTGGGCCTATGAAAACACTGGACGCTGACATGTGCTCAGCGAACTCAGTTGAGCCTGCCTGCAAGCCTGTCTTTCTCTCCCTGTGCATAAAGGATTGGGCTGTTTGTTGTGTACACCCTCAAGCCTTCGTCAGTGAATGAGAGGCAGATCTGCGTGGACGGAGCCCTGGAGCCTTCCCAGCCTGGTGAGAAGACCTTTGCCAGTTCGAAGGCAGTAGGACAGCCCTCATGAAACCCCCGAGAGGCAGATGTTTTGCTGAGGAAGGGGCTAAGCAAGGAAGGGGAAGGCACCCACAGCCGAGCAGTGGTTCCCAAGCAGTGGCCTGTGAGGTTGTCGTTTTATGATGAGGGTCAGAAATCAAGTAAAATTACGGATTCCTGCTCCGTAATGTGGGATTGGTGTTCCAGGCCTCCAGAATAAAATCAGTTCCCTGTAAACCAGCATGTGGCATCTGGGGTCCTGCCTCACTTTCTAGTTGAATCCCCACTACCCCTTACTTTCCTGACAAGCCCCAACTCCAGCACTGAAGCACGTGCAGGCCCCCACAGGTGACGGCCTGCCCTCCATCCGTGCTTGGCACGTGCTCTTCACTCAAGGGAAATGCCACCGCTCTTCCACTAGCCTAGTGGTCCCCAGTCCCACCAAGCCAGATTAAATCACTTTCTCTGTGTTTCCAAAGCCCCTTGGGGTTACCCTAGTGGACACATTTGTAATTTGTTTATGTGAGTCTCCCTCTTCACCCAGCCAGGTGCAGAACTGCAGCTATGTCTTGTTCAACTTGTTCCCTCTGCTAGGGCAGTGTGACAGCAACAATCACAACCACTTTGTCCCAGGCCCTACAGATCTGCACTGTCCAAGATGAAAGCCCTAAGCCACGTATAGCCATTTAAGTTCAACTTTTAACTAATTCAAATTAAATGCAGTTAAAAACTTCATTCCTCAACTCTAGCCATATTTGAAGTGCTCACTAACTCCCTGAGCTAGTGGCTACTCTACTGGACAAGGGGGATATAAAACAGTCTTATCAACACAAAAGAATCTCTTGGACAGCATTATTTAATCTAGATAAATTATCATCTCTTATCCTTAGATCAAGTCACAAGAAGTTACTATTCCCATGTTGCTGACTGAGAAACTTAGGTGCAATGAGATTAGGAGCTAATCGAAGATGGGGCCAAAATCTAAACAGAGGGAAACGTGACTCCATTTCTCCAGGCTGTCTTGTCAGTCCTATTTCTGCAGCATGGGGTGTGTGCCCTGCATTAGTTGTGAAATTACTGGCAATCAAGGGAATGAACAAATGGATAGTGGGCCAATAGTGAACTTACTTAGTCAACCTTCCTTCTCATAGGACTGCATTCTGAAATTTTTACCTAACCAACATGTTAAAACATTGCTAATATGTCCTTTCAGGCTTTAATCACTCTTCAGAAGTGAAGCTTCTTCTTCCACTGGCTCCATATACCTTTGCTATGATTTGAGTTCTGTTTTTATTGTAGCATAGCCATTCAAAAGCCTCTCCTGGAAGCCAGTTGAAAGCGGGAACAAAGAGAAGAAAGACCACGGTCTTCACCACTCCGTTTCTGATTACTTGCATAATACCAGTGCATAGTAGGTGCTTATGAAATGTTGCAGCCTATGATAATTTACAAAATTCTCCTACTGAAAAATATATTTTCCCTATTTTTAGGATTTTTGGTTTTTGGAGGATATGCAGCTTTGCAGACATCTCTAATTAAAGCAAACTTTAGTAACATTTTCTGAAATTCCTTTTAAGCATTGTGTGGAGGCGAGAATCAAATGCCAAAATTTTGAGTCCCAGCCTTGCCACAATCCCTGGGTGAAATAAGCATTTGGTGAATATGATTGCTTACTGCAGCAGATATTATGTCTCTTTACATCCGTTTTCTCTCAAATCTGAATTCTTTTTTGTAGCTGGAAGCCAAACATCTGGAAAGACAATCTGGCTCAGAAACCAGTTGCTGGAGATGCTGCTCAGTGTAATATCTTCCCCCCAACTTCATCTGTCCCCTGAGTGAGTAGAGCAATTTGACAGGAGGTTGCCTCATAGAGGGTGTGGCATTAAATCTTTTCTTAATGAAAAGTTTAGCATCTCTGAGTCTGTTTTCTGCACTAGTCAGAAAGAAAATTATATTCTCTCTACCCAGTAAACCAGATCTTGCCCTGAGATATTCTGATGCAAATGTTAAGTGGGCATGAATAACTGGAAACAGATTTGGTATAATTATAATTAACTCCTTTTGTCACCATTGCTATAGTGTAATTGTTATTCTTTTGGCAGTTGTGACAATTACTGATTTTGATGTCCTGTATTTGGCAGACAATAGAATGAGGAAATGGTGAGCCTAAATAACATCCATCCAGGAAAAGTCTTGCCAAATTCTTCTGCGATTTACTGTTAGTGAGTTTGTTGTTTTTCCAAGTTGGAAAAAGAAGTATCTACCTTCAATTAACTTCTAAAATCATGTGAAATCATAAAGCTGATTCCATTAACTCTCCCCACTGCCTGCCTGCTTTACCTGCAACCTTGGAGTCATTCGTGTGACACCTCATTTGTTGAGTATCTACTGCACGCCAGACACTGTTCCCAGCTCCTAGGATGCAATGTTGAGCAAGTCAGCCCAGATTCTTGCCCATGTGCATCTGGAGTTGGGGGTAAGGAGTTACCCCTCAGTAAAGCAGCTTTATAAATAGTGTTTAATAATTTACCAGCCTACAAGTCTTTATTTTCCTAGAATCAAAACATGGTAGAACTGGAAGATGCCTTGGAAATGAGATAGTGCAGCCACTTTCTTTTCCATATTTTTGAGAGAAAATATAGTGTAGTGCTTAACAGCTGGACTCTGGCATCCATACCATCTGAGTTCAAATCCTAGCCCTGCCCCCAGGGACCAAGGGGAGGCTATTTAAGCCCTGTATGCCTCTCTCTCCTCCTCTGCATGAAGATAAAAATTGTATTCCGTTGGCCCAAATGCAATTGCGTTTTTTTTCCATTACTTTTAATGGCAAAAACCGCAATTATTTTTGTACCAACCTAATACTGTCAATAGATGACTATAGTGAGGATGAAATGAATTAATATATGGATGATCCTGAGGATGGTGCCTGGAATACTGTAAATTATCTGTAAGCTATTATTGCCATCTCCTTCATCATCACCATCACCACCACCATCATCACCATCACCAGAACCAACACCCACCACCATCATCATCACCACAACATTAATCACCATCATCATCACCACCATCAACATTATCACCACCAGCATCGCCATCACCACCACCATCACCACCACCACCACCATCATCACCACCACCATCACCACCACCACCACCATCATCACCACCACCATCACCACCACCATCATCATCACCACCACCGCCATCATCATCATCACAACCACCATCATCATCATCACCACCACTATTAACATCATCACCACCACCACCATCATCACCACCACCACCATCATCACCACCACCATCATCACCACCACCGCCATCATCATCATCACAACCGCCATCATCATCATCACCACCACTATCAACATCACCACCACCACCACCACCATCATCATTACTACATTAATCACCATCACCACCATCACCGTAAATATCATCACCATCATTATCAACATCATCACTGAGGAAAATGATCAGAGCACATCAAAAGCTCTGCCAAAGTTCTCCAGTTGCTAAACATCAGAGGCAGGGCTAGAAAAGAGGACAGTTTCTTCTCCTCACTCTTAATCTGGGGCTCATTTCAGTGGATGTCCTCCAGATTCTCACCAGCTGAGAACACAGATGGAGCCTTCACTGGCTCCCAGAAGTCTGGGTCCTTTGCTGAGCCCATTGTCTTTGCAGGATTGGCCACCCATCTCCCTGCCCTCCAGTTTCATCCGGGTCCCATCAGCAATTCTGTATTCTCCAGACCCATCATTTTTGAAAGTGACAGTTAATCGGGGTTTTTTGGTGCTAAAATTTATAAAAATGAATAATATTGGACTATTCCATTTAGATAAATTTTGACCAGTGTCTTTAGAAAGGGTGGTAAATAATCATGATGTGTTTTATGTGACTACATTGATGGTAATTAAATTAGATGGATGGCTAGTCATCCACTGTGTAAGCATGAATGGTAGTTATGTAGGACTATTAAGGGAGCATGCACATTTTCACATATGTGAATACCCAGGTTCCAATGGCTTTGAAATGCTGCAACCATTGATAGACAAATGCATCAACCATGCATTAATCTTGCCAGCATTTCATTTTACCAACCATTTGAAATGTACTGAATAATCAGTGATGTTAACCTTAACTTGCCTCTCCTTGGTGACTTGTGAGGCTGGACATTTCATATTTTCTGGACATGTCACTCGCTCACAGACAAAGAGATCATTGACTGCATTTATTAATCCCCCAGGTCAAAGGAAGAGGTGTTTCTGAAACTGGGGCCTGACTGGTTCCTGCTGCTCCTGCAGGGCCACCTGCACGCCAGCACCACTGTGCTGGCATTGACGCTGCTGCTGCACTTTCTGGGAAGCCCCTCCCTCCGCACACGGTTTAGAGATGGGCTGTGTGCAGGATCTTGGGTGGAACACAGCACCGAGGGTGTGAACATTGTAATGGGTGAGCACACGGCTGTCTCCAGTAAGTGGGGCACCACCTAGTCCTGGGATATGGATGAGGACCAAGCCAGGCCCCTTCTTATTTGAGACCATCACAGCTCTGTGCAGCAGCAGGCTCATCTTGAGCCTTGACTCTAAGGCGTACATCCAAATGAGCCTAGCCCCACTGACTTCCTTTACAGGATCCCCCGCAGCCTCGCTGCACAGACGCTGGAGGCTACCTTCCATTCCTCCCAGCTGCTCAGCCCTGTTCTCCTGAGCACTGTAGACTCTGCTTCCTCTTCCTGAGGGGATGCTTCTTCTCCCGATGTGGGTTCATCCTCACATCTCAGTTCAAATGCCACTTCTTCCAGGAGATGAAGGGTCTCCCTGAATTGGGGCACCTCTGTTATGTTATCTCTGCCCTTAGTATTTTTCTCTATAGTGCTTATCAAAATTCACAAGCACATAAATATTTGAGTATTTAATTGCTTAATGTCTGTCCCTCCCACTACAATGCAAGCTTCATGAGTGCCTGCAATTCTGTATATTTGGATGAAACCCTACGCCCTTGTTGCCTGATACAAAGGTATATGTTTGTATTAAGAAGGAAAGAAAGAAAGAAAGGAAGAAAGAGAGAGGGAAAGAAGAAAGAGAAAGGACAGAAAGGAGAGAAAGAAAGAAAAGATGGGGTGAGGTCATTCTCATTGATCCACTCAAAAACACTCAAGTATGTTTCTGAGTGAAAGAATGAGCATGTCAGGAACAGGGAGGGAATTACTGTTGAAAGCTTTCTTGCTCTCATCTATGTGTGAATATATTTTATCATCCAGCATTTCTCTGAGATGGGTGGATGGCCGGGTGTTCCCTGTGTGTCCAGACCCCGCCTTGACCAGCAGCTGTTCTCAGCTGGCTTTTGTGCCCCCTTTGCCTGATCAATAGACAACCTGAAGAGCCACCAGCCACTGCCCGAGCAGAGCCCGTGCCTCCTTCCTGGGTTCCGCATCTTGAATGACTTTCTGGCCCACCACATCCACATTCCAGAGGTCTACCTTATCGTGTCCACCTTCTTCCTGAAGATGCCACTCACAGAGCTGACAGACGGGCCCAAGGTAGGTTTTCAGAGCACCCAGCTCAGATGGGGTGCTGGCCGGTGTTCCTCACTAGCAGCCCACACCCTTGGCCAGCCCTTCAAATGCTCTCCTGCCAGGCACTTGACTTCCTCGGCCTCTGCTCCCATCCTTCCTCCTAGCCAGTCTCTCATTTGGATCAGTTCTATTTTTAAACCTTCCTTTTGGGCACAGCTAGGGAAATGACATGATGTTGGGGTGGCCCTGCCTCAGCGCCCCATCCTCCACCACCCACTTAGGCTGTGACCTTCTTCATCGCCTTCTTGCCCCTGTTGCTAGGACAGGGAGACTTTCCAAGTTTCTTTCAGCTCCTTCCTTGGGGAACTCACCCCATCTTTTCTTTCTTTCTTCCCCCCCCTTCCTTTCTTCCCTTCTTTCTTTCTTCTTCTTTCTTTCTTTCTTTCTTTCTTTCTTTCTTTCTTTCTTTCTTTCTCTTTCTTTCTTTCGTCTTTTCTCTCTTTCTCTCTTTCTTTCTTTCTGTCTTTCTGTCTTTTCTCTCTTTCTCTCTTTCTCTCTTTCTTTCTCTTCTTTCTCTTCTTTCTTTCTTTCTCATTGTGTCACCCTGGGGAGAAAGTGCAGCGCCATGATCTCAGCTCACTGCAACCTCCGCCCCCTGGGTTCAAGTGATTCTCCTGCCTCAGGCTCCCGAGTAACTGGGATTACAGATGCCCGCCACCATGCCTGGCTAATTTTTGTATTTTTAAAAATTATACTTTAAGTTCTGGGTTACGTATACAAAACGTTCAGGTTTTTACATAGCTATACACGTGCCATGGTGGTTTGCTTAATCCATCACCCCGATTTTTGTATTTTTAGTAGAGATGGGGTTTTGCCAAGTTGGCCAGGCTGGTCTTGAACTCCTGACCTGAGGTGATCCTTCCGCCTCGACCTCCTGAAGTGCTGGGATTACAGGCTTGAGCCACTGCACCCGGCCCTTTCTTTCTTTTCTATTTTCAGTTTTTTCTTTTCTACCAACTCTTCCCTCATAAGCCACAACTATGTTCAACTGCATCCGACTTAAAACCAGAGGCCGTCCCTTGATCACACACCCGACCCACTGCTGCCTACTGATCACTTTCCTATCCTTCCTTGGCCACATTTCTCCAAAGAGGAGTCTATGCTCACCGTATGCACCTTCTCTTTGCACTAAATTCAGGTGGCTTTCACACCTGCAGCATCAGGGTCAGACTTGGTAGCTGGCACCAAGCTCCCTCATCTCTGGTTGCCCAATGTGTCTTTCCAACCCAGCTGCAATTCACCTGCCCTCAGCTGTGACTCTCCTAAATCATCCCCCAGTAAGACCAGCTGCTCTTTGCTCACCTGCCCTGCTGCTCTTACTCCTCTTTCCCACCATCGTTTGCCTGGTGGAAGTGTCCTCCCTCAGCACTCAGCTCAGATGCTACCTCCTGCTTAGACCCCAGACAGAGGAGTCCATTCCCTCCTTTGTGCCTCGGTGTAGTTTACATTGTGTTGTTTACACAACACAAATGTGTGCCTGCCTCCTTAGAAACTGAACACCTGAAGAATGGACCCACCTTTCACTCAGCTTCCTGGAACCTGACAAATAACCAACTTGGAATCATTAATTATTTCTTGGTCTCAACTGAGTTGAGTTAAACTGAACTGAGTTGAAATATGGGAGGGGTGTGGCTTTGCAAAGAGAAGGTTAAAAATCTACCCCTCTTATATATCTTTATAGTTGACAGATCTAAATCTTGACATATGCTAATAGCATTGTAGATTGCACTTCAAAATAAAGTTCTTAATATGCTATGCTAAGGTCACTGAGACTGTGAGTTCTTATTTCACTAACATGTCTCCGGAAACAGATGTCTGTTAAGTGTTGCACCCTGGGATAGATGTTTTACATATTTTATTTTTCTCGATATTTAAACAATCCTATGGGGTAGATAATGTAATTCTCATTTCACAGGGAAGGAAACTGAACTGCCAACAAGCTCACTAGCTTGCCTGAGCTCAGCTATTAAAAAGGCAGAGTCAGGCCATTCTGATTGTAAACCCTAGGTTTAGAATCTCTCTAAACCTCTACGCACCACACTTTCCCCTGAAACCTTTGAATTCTTCATTTGTCTTACATAATCTAATTTACAAAAGTTCATTAAAGGTGATAAGCATATTGACTTATGATGTCAGACCAAAATAACTGAACTAGCTGCCAGTCGCTAGGGGGTCTTCAGCACCTTCTTAGAGGTGCGTGTTTCCCTCAGCACCTTCTTAGAGGTGTGTGTTTCCCTTATGCACCATCTACTGGGGTGAAATTGTTCCTATGGACCAACCACCTAGGCTGCTACTGTGCTCTTTTGCTTTTCCCAGTGGGGCCCCCTGCAAAGGTGATGCACTGGCTGCAAAGCTGCTTCTCTTGGTGTGTAGCCGCAGGTCTGCTTACAGCCCCTGCCTCCTCTTCCAGGACAGCCTCAATGCCATGCTTCAGTGGCTCTTGCAGAAGCATCACCAGGAAGAAGTCCTCCAGGCTGGGCTGTGCACAGAAGGTGCCTTGCTGCTCCTGGAAATGCTGAAAGCCACCATGAGCCAGGTGAGACCCATTCCCCACATGTTGCCCCGAGGAGGTTCTGATGGGAAGGCCAGTTTGGAAGGGTCACCTTGACTTTTCTCCTAGCAGCTTCCCATTAATGCCAGTAATGAGCAAAGTCCTGTAGAAGAGGTGAGGTAGCTTCCTAGAGGTGGTTCAGGGGCACAACTGAAAACCCAGCCTATAGGTCTCTGAGCTTTCTGTGCTTTTGCAGGTGATATCTGTTTATCATTTGTTTAAACATGGGGTTTCTTCACTGGGAGATTTATTGCCTTCGGTCAAAGGGAACATTTCTTAGGAGGAAGAGGGGCCTTTCCTCTCAAGGAGTTCATCTTCTTGCTCATGAGTGACCTATGGGGAAGGGACCTGACTTACAGAAGGCAGATGGCCGCCAGCTATAAGCAAAGCATGGAGAGGCTTCTGGAGGGAGAAGCCTTTAATTTGAGCTTTCAAAGTCCAGTAGAGGTGAGTGGTGAGTGGAAGAGTTATTTTAGACATGGGGTAGAGGTCGTGTGACTTGTGAACAGGAATAACTAATGGTGAGCCAGGTCAGGAAGGGTTTCCAAAAGAGGCTGAAAATTCTGACCTCATCCTGTAGGCATCAAAGGCAATTGGAGGCTTGATTGTATGGGGAAACTTAATGCTTTTATAAAATTATACATGATTACCTTTAACATTTAAACAAAAGAGAAAAACAGGAAGTAAACATTATCCACCTGACATACACCCACCCAGAAATGAGCACTGTGAATTTTGGTTGAATCTTCCCAGACACTTATCCAAGATTCGACCGTATCCTCACAGAGAATGAGACCATATGCACCCCTTTTGTCTTTTTTCCTCAATATTTGTGGACATCTTTTCATCCAAATGAAGTAAAAAAATATGAGAATCATTTATATTTGTAATATAAATTTATGTTGTTTTACAGAGTGTTTGTTGTTATGTTTGTAATGAACTTTTTAAAACAAATATCTTTCTTTCTGTCTTGATGACCTCCTTAGTGTGTATTCTGGGATGTGGTATAGCAGGTTAAAGTGTACCTTCACGCATTTTCTTCTGGATGCACTTCTCAGAAAGATTGCATTAGCCATTATGCACACACATCCCACCAGTGAACATCTAACTCTATATCTTGTACAGAAGGGCTCAGTCCCATCCTTACAGCCTCAACAGCATGACCAGACTGATGATGGCTTCATAGTTGAGTTCTTTTGCATTTATTATTACTGAGGCTGAAACCATTTTTCATATGTTTATTAGCTATCTTTATTTTCCTCTCTGTCTATTTTCCTGTCATTTGCCTGGCTATATCTTTTGCCAGTTTTTCTTGGTGTGTGTAATTATGCTGAGAAAGTAGAGATCCCACTTTTTATCCTTTCTGAGACAGATTTTTTTTTTTTTCTTTTTTGAGACCAGGTGTTGGTCTGTCGCACAGGGTGGAGTGCAGTGGTGTCATTTCAGCTCACTGTAGCCTCTGCTTCCCAGGCTCGAATGATCCTCCCACCTCAGCCACCTGAGTAGCTGAGACCACAGGCAGGCACCACCATGCCTGGCTAAATTTTGTATTTTTGTAGAGACGGGGTTTCACCACGTTGGCCAGGCTCAGAAGTGTTTTTATTGTTATTAAATACTCTTTTAGCACACAATTAGATAATCCTGTGCTTTTTTTTCTTTCAGCCAGTTTCCTATGATTAATTACATAATCATATGATTAAATAGATTTCTTTGCATTCTTGCAAAAACTTCATTTAGTCACGGTGTCCTTATTCTGTTTGTAAATATTTTATTTATGATTTCATGCATGCTTATAAATGATATAAGCTTACAGTTTTCTGGTTATATATTTTTCACGTTTTGACATCAGCATTATGCTAATCTTATATAAAAAAAGACTTCTGTCTTTTCTTTGTATTCAACAAGATGTTAAATTCATGATTTTTGTATTATTTTAATTGGTCTTATGAAAGTGCCTGGGCCTAAATTTGTCCCATTATTACTGGCTTGTTTAGGCTTTTAAATATCTTCACGACCTAGTTCAGTTAATTGATACTTAAAAAAAATTTCCCATTCATTTAATTTGCACAAATGGTCTCCTTTAACTCATGTCATTTTCTGTGTGATTGTTGCACCCTTCCTATTCTCAGTTTGTGTCCTGTTCTCTCCTTCTCAGCCTCTCTTGTGACTTAGGGAGTTGAAGGCTATGGATTTATATAAACAACTAGCTCTTGGGTACATTTATCAGTCTCCTGATTTTTTTTTTCTGTCAATTTCTAAGATTTTGATTTGGGCATCTTCATTTTTTGTTGTGTTCTGGAATTTCTGCAATTGCAGTTTTTTTTTTTTTTTTTTTTTTTTTTTTTTTTTTTAGATGGAGTTTTGCTCTTGTTACCCAGGCTGGAATGCAAAGGCGCGATCTCGTCTCACCACGACCTCCACCTCCTGGATTCAGGCAATTCTTCTGCCTCAGCCTCCTGAGTAGCTGGGATTACAGCAATTGCAGTTTTGAAGGTCGCTTTGGTTCACATTTTTTGATGTTCATGCAGTGGAGATTTTTGGTTTTTAAACTTTCGTTCTCCATTTCTAGTTTTGCTTTTGCCCTGCTCAGACCATGTGATCTGTATATTTTTTATCTTTGAGAAGACCCCTTCCTGAGACTTTCAACAAGATACATTATTTAAGACTGCAGATCAGCCCCAGACACTAGTGTCAACTGGGGAAGGGTTAACTCACCCAAGCAAGGTCACAGGCACGGGCACGGTGAAGGCCTGTGTGTCCAGCCTCAGTGCCACATTCCTGGCTGTGGCCGTGGCTAAGAACCTTCAGAGGATTTCTGTTGCTTGCCACATCAATTCCAAATTCCTCTTCCAAAAGTCCATGTCCTCCGGATATGACCTCTTCCTCCAGCTTATTCTGTTTACCCCACGCTAGTCACTGTGAAAATAAGCTCAAGTCAATAAAGTGTCTCCTGTAATCCTCACAATAACCTTCTGGAATAGGCCGTATTATAGCCTTTGTCTTACAGAGTTGGAGCCCAAGGCGTGGAGAGGTTAAAGAGCTGGCCCAAAGCTTCATGGTTAGTAAGTGGGAGGTTAACTCTTGACAGATTCACCCAGGCAGTCCTATTTCTCACCGCTTCCTCTAAATTTAAAATTGTACTGCAAGAAACTAGTAGAAAACGCCGGTGCAAATGGCTTCAGAAACAGTTTCTGTCTGCCTGCCGGCTCCAGCCCATAGCAAACCCTCGTGAGATCCTGGAAATGTGATGCTAATGGTGCCGTGCATATTACCTTTCTTTGTACGTTTAGATTTGTGTTTTCCAGTGTGAGTCACAGTGCAGGCACTCAATAGCTAATTGGTGAACAGGGCATTCTAACTCAAATACCCTGGGCCGGGACTGAACACAGGCTGGTGAGGAAATGAAGACAACATTGATGGGATGGGCTGAGGATGAGCAACTGGCCTCACTAAAGGAGAGCCTGATGTCCACCCACAGTGGCTACAGGAGTTAGCCGAGAATCACTCAGCCTAAGTATTGGTGTGACTGTGCAGGGAATAACACCGAGGTTAAGGCTGGTCAATTTTGAGGTGCCAGGGTATCAACTCAAGACTACAGGACCTCAGTCAGCAGCTGGACACACTGGGGCTAGTATCAGTCTCTGGACAGACTGGCTGGGCAAGGTTGGGCAAGGGAGTGGGCTCCAGAAAGCACTAGGGTTCAGGCAGGATTCAGGGTGGAGGCTCTGCCATGTGGTCAAGCCCACGTTACAGTGTACATGGGCAAACTGGTGCCCAGGCCTCCTCAGGGTGCTGGGTACCTGCTCAATGCACTAAGATCCATCCAGACCCCCAGCTGGTAGAGAAGAAGCTCCTTCAGCCATACCAGCTCAAGACAAGTTGTGCCCAGATATTGGCCCTGGCAAAGTTTATAGGTGGGAACATCAGTGCTGGGCTAGGGAAGGTGGAGGTTACCCCTGACAGGAAAGTTCCTTGAACACAAGTGCCATGTTTAATCACACAGAGATAGACAGGCTTGAGAGCCAAATTTTCTGGGTTCAGTTCATGGCTCAGACTCTTACCCACTGGATGATCTTTCTGGGCCTCTGTTTTTCTACCTGTAAAATAGGGGTAAGCATAGACCCTACTTCAGAGGGTTGCTGTGGGGTGAGAAGAGGCATATATACAAAGCCCTTATGACATCTGCACATATTGAACCCCTCCCCAGTTGACACTGGCATCTGGTGCTTATCTGCAGTCTTAAATCATGTATCTTGTTGAAAGTCTCAGGAAGGAGTCTTCTCCCTAGACCTCAGCTCCCCTGGTTAGTGAGGCAACCCCTATCATGCTGGCCTGCACCACCTCTCATGAAGTGTGCCTCAGCCCCCTGTAGGTTCTGAGGATGGCGCCTGGGCACAGACGTTTCCGGCCAGCGTGCTGCAGTTCCTCAGCCTCGTGCACCGCACCTACCCCCAAGACCCAGCATGGCGAGCCCCGGAGTTCCTCCAGACCTTGGCCACAGCCACCTTCTCCCTGGGAGTCCAAAAGGTAGGACACACTGCTGCCCCACCCAAGAGAGAGTAGGTGTGAGTGTCACCATCCTTCAAGGGCAAAGGGCTAAATCCCTCCCACTCCCCTAAAATTATAATACATTTTAAGGGATCCTGAGGGGAACATGGCATGAGAAGCTTGGGTAATCTTCCTGTTTTGGCTGAGATACGGTTCGAGGTCATTTTCAGCTCTGAGATTCAATAATTTTTTGAGCTGTTAAGAATCTCAGTAACGAGAAGCTGATGGCAGATAAAGTCCATTCTCTGCGGCATCCACAGGCACTGACAAGGGGAGACAGTGACTGCCATTCCAGGATCCAGGAAGCCTGCTGCTGTGCACCACACGGGGTCGGGGGTGGTCCTGGGAGGGCGTTCTGCAAGGTGTCTTGCTCCCAGGACCCTCGTCCCACTTGCAGGCCTCTGGGCCATGGCTTGTGTGTCCTTCCAGGCCGTGGGTTTGCAGAGGCCCAGCTTACAGCCCGATGAGCCAAGGGAGGGGAGGGCAGAGCCTGATTAAAGGATGAGGTCTTGGGTCATATGCTCTGGTGGTTACAGAAGGGGCTATGGGAAGACATGTGAGTTTGAGGCCTGGAGCCAGGCCCAGTAGATCAAGGGTTGACTGGATCAGGACCGTGTGGGATTCAGGTAGGCTAAGAGCACTTGGGAGCTGAGAGGCAAGCACGAGGTAAAGACTGAGCAAAAAGGTCAGATATGGAAGGAGGAAGGGCAGAAATTCACGTGGCCACCCTCACTCTGGTGGATTAGGAAGTGGAGACGCAGGGAAGGCAAGCGAGCTAACTGTGTCTGCCTGCAAGTTGCTAACTGTAGCTAAAGCAGCGCATTTGAAAGACGAACCATGCTACATAGGGGGGTTATAATCCATGCCAAGTGCAATGCAAAGCCTGGCGTGGTTGCTCCATAAACATTTGCTAAATGCCCAAATGAATGAGCAATGTGTTCTCTTAGCTCATCTTTTCCAGAAGAATACCCATGGTGACGGCCTCCGTCTCCTGAAACTGGTGCTTTATAGAACCTGAACTGCCACCTGACCAAGGTGGTGTCTGTAAGACGAAGCTGAGATTCAGAGAGGTGAAGCAGTGCTCACCAGTTTCCTTCAGGCTTAGGGAGGGTCACAAAACCCATCTCCCAGATGATTGCAAGAAGGAAATGTACTGAACTTCACAGGATTAACAAGTGACAGGGACAGGGTTTAAGTCTCACTCTCTTACCCCAAAGCCTTGTCTTTATATTACAGTCAGTTTAAAATAAAATTAAATGGCCAAATAAAATTTAAGAGTAATTAGTTTTAATAAAAAGACTAAATATAAAGACCAGAAGTTTCACAAAAAGATAACAGCTTTGAAATAGTTTGACAAATTCATAGAAAGTAAGGTAACTTACGAAAAAAGTAAGGTGAAAAGCAAAGAAACCAAAGGTGAAGGAATGCACTGCTGGTTGCAGGAGAGCGGTGGGATAGGACCTTCAGCCAGAGGCACAGGCAGCCTGGCCAGGCAGAGAGCAAGGGCGAGCCTATAGGCGGCCCCTTGACACTTCCCCTGGCAGGTTTTCTGCAGGGGTCCAGCAGCCTAACATTCTCTACCCAGATGCCCAGCTCAGCCCCCAAGCCCGAGAGCCAGGCTCGCCATCTGCTGAGTTGGGGTTCCAGCTGAGTGCCCCTGCCGGCAGCCCAGCTGCACACTCTGACCCAGGACTCCTGCTCCCCATGGTCAGTGGTTCCCAGGGATATGACTCTGGGGGAGGGTCTGGCCGAGAGCCACATCCCTAGCTGACCACAGGTCAGCCTTTGTCTTAGGGCTCCTGGTTCTAATTCCAAGGTGCACCTCCCAGCTATCCTTGCCTTTCTCAGCTCCAAGTCAGATCTGCCAAGTCCTTTGTTGTACAGAAAACACGCCAGACTCTCTTCATGCAGAAGGCTGGTGGCCAAAGGCTTGGAGTTGCTGTGAATTTATATGGCATCTTTCCAATCAAGGCCGCATGGAGCTAATTAATGCAGTCACCACCTCCCTAGGTGCCATTAAATTCATTTTATGGCTTAATTAAGAATGGCTGCATTAATTTTATGAATGAGCAAAGGGAGGTGCTAACAGATGAACGCGCAGGAGAAGTTCACGGGCCGGGAGTCAGGAGTCCCTGGCCGTGTGTCCTTGGGCGCATCACTCAGCCTCCAGCATCTCTGTGTCCTACTGGATGTATCTGGGGTAATGACCCCTGTCTCATTGATCACCCAGCATTTTATAAATATAAAATGAGAAAGCGGATGCCAGAGCGCTTCAGGAATTAAAGGAAAGGACTTCGGAGTCCCACTTCTCCACCGTTCTCACCTGAGGATCCTGTCTGTGGGCATCAGCAGAGCCTGGGCAGGAAGTAGAGGTGGGGTCCCATCACAAGGTGGACACCAACTCTCTCTGACCATCTACAAGGGGCCAGGCCTTGCCGTGTCTGTAGTCTCTCATGTCATTATCACAGATCCCATGTCAGATGGTTTTTATTGTCTCTATTTAACTGATGGGGAGCCGTGGCTTCCAGGCATGAAGCAGCTTGCCCCTGGCACATTCTGGGGTTCATCATGAACATTGCAGATAACATTCTGACTCTGTGGTTTAGCTTCTTTGTGCAACAGTGTAGTGGGCATCTCATGTCCTCAAACTGTAGCAGGTCAGCTTATGAGCAGCTGGACCCTGGGCGAGTGGCTTTCCTGTGTGGAGCCTCAATTTCCCTACATGTCACTGGGTGTGACAATAATCCTGCCAAGCACACGGCACAGGGTGGTGGGAAAGAGCTTGAGGCAGGGCAGGCCGCTCATGCTGGGGTTCTCTTGTCTTTGAGGGGCCTGGGGCTGAGTCCGCCCGGAACGCCAGCAGTCCTGAGGCCGCGGCTGAAGGCGACAGCACAGTGGAGGGCCTCCAAGCTCCGGCCAAGGCACATCCTGCCCAGAGGCAGCTGAGGGAGTTCATGCAGCTCCTCTTGAGGGAGCTCCTGCTTGGAACCTCCAGCCCCAAGCAGTGGCTGCTCCTGGAGGTGCTCCTGGAGGTGGGTTGGAAAAGGTGACATTGGGCCATGTGCTGTGGCGGCTGCAAGTATACAGGCACTGTGAGGGCAGGATGCACCCAGGGAGACCAAGGGCCTGGGGGCCACAGCAATGGGAGTGAAGGGGAATATGTGAACCATGGGCCCCCAAAGAGCAACAGGTGATAGAGGAGTGAGCGTAAGGTCCCTGGAAGCAGAGCCTGAGGCAGGAGTTTTGTGGAAGTGAGTTATTGGCCAGTGGGTTGGAGGGGGTGTGTTCTCAGGAGAAGGAGGGAGGAAGGCAGAGGGGCAGGAGGTGAAGCTAGCCCAGAAGTGGTCCCAGCTGGAGCCTGGCCCAAGGGAGGCTCTGGAGTGCTCTCTTCCTCTCAGAGCTGGCCCCTCCTGTGGCACCTGACAGGTGACCATGGGCCATGGGCTCCCCCCACTTTCCTCCTCATCCCAGGAAGTGGGCATTGCCTTCTGGACGAGGCAGCTCGGTCAGGAGAGGGTGATGCCCCAGAGAAAGGGCAGTTGTGAGCAGCTCACACTGCTGGCAGAAGTGGCACAGGTATCCCAGCCAGGTTAGGGAGGCAGCGGACACTGGGTGGACATCATGGCCCTGTGGCTGCGCTCTCAGTCCAGGGTGGTACTTCCAGGCTTCTCCAGACCATGCCACCAGCCAACAGAAACGAGACTTCCAGTCTGAGGTCCTGCTTTCCACCATGGAAATATTCCACAAGATAAGTGGAGGCGACACAGTGATGCTCAAAGGTGAGTGGGGCAACTTGTCCTCCCCATTCAAGACACGAGGCTGCTGACAGTTGGGATGACACCAGCATGCCCGCCAGGGGCTAACCCCAGCTGTGGGATGCTGCCTCCACCTGGCCTCAGTCCCTCCAGGCATCATCAACAAGAACTCGCTGGCCCCTGCCTTGGGGCCCAGTGGAGGGGTGCTTGCTACTCTCCATGACACCCCTGTCATTGCTGTGCCACTTGCAGACAGAAAGTCCTTTTGTCCTCTGAGCAAAAATTGGCTCTCCTGTAGCCTCAGTAGAAATTGCTTCCCCTTGCTTCCCATAAGGGAAGCCAAGATGCTGGAATTTAACCTTCCATCCTTAGTATTCTGCCTGGGTACAGAATAGGCGCACAGCCAATGTTCCTTAAACAATGAACCTGGGTGAAGACCCTGCCATGCCCCTTCAGAGCTTAAAATTGAAGCTTCATTCAAAAACCTTGGTTCCAAGGCAGTGTACCTTTTCAACAAGCTTAGACAAAAGCCTTTTCTGTGGTTCCCAAACCACAGGAATTCCTAGTGATATGAGTCCTCCTCTGGACTTCTTTCTTCCCACTTAGAAACGCTGATTTCATGATCTTTCTCATGGAGAGACTGGAATGTGGGAGAGTAGCAGGGTGGTGAAGTGTGCACTTGGCAACGCCAGTTCTGGATTTGGCTCTGCCACTGGACAGCCATGTGACTCCAGGCAGGTGCCTGGACCTGTGAGTGAGGACGACAGTCATGGCGAACTCACAGGGTTGTGCTAGGGGTTAGCTGAGATCATCACACACATGGCTGAGCACAGTGCCTGCTGTGTTGGTGAGCATAGACGGATATTGACAGGATGGCTTTATCCTCTGCCTAGTGTAGCAGCAGGGCTCCGGTCATCACGATACTTGCTCATTTGTCTCAGACAGCACATTCTCCCCATCCTCCTCCCAGAAGCCACAGGAAGAAATGCTTCCCCTTGCTTGCCTTCTCACCACTTGGTTTATATCACTGACCAGATTACTCACAATCTATTCACTTTGATTAATGTGTGTGTGTTGGGCACCTCCTCAGTACAAGACTCCATTTTTGGCGCAATGGGGTTAAACAGAGGTGCGTAAGATGCAGTTAGTAACTACAAGGGACTTGGGGACTGCCACGGAGAGAAGTCCGTTTAGACTCTCATCTCTGCCTGTCCCCTCACTCCACAGATGGCAAAGAGCCTCAACCAAGTTCAGAAGCCACTTTTGCCCCTTCACTCGCCAACATCTCCTGCTTCACCCAGAAGCTGGTGGAGAAGCTGTACAGCAGGATGTTCTCAGCAGACCCCAAGCACATCCTCCTCTTCATCCTGGAGCACATCACGGTGGTAAGAGCTGCTCACTGACTGTGTTCCGTGTGGATCTGAATGATGTGCTCCTGGCTGTTGTCTAGTTGGTCCCGTTGCATCTGCCTCCCTCCCTGGAGCCGAATCTGAGCCAGGTGGGAGGAAGGAGGAGGCCCTTTAGGCCCAGGTAATACCTGGAGGCTGCTGCATGCTTGGCAGGGCTCTCACCTCAGGCCACTCAAGCCCAGTCTCAGGGATTGGAAGCCTCAGCTCTCTGCACTTGCACCTGAACTCTCTAAACTCCTAGACTCCGCTTTCTCCCCTTTGAGTTTTTATTATAATTGTTGATTTGACCTTAATTGTTGTTATGCTTCCGCAGCTAAGAAAGGGCCACAAAGGCCTTTTGTCTCCGCAAGATCAATTTTATTTTCTTCCTTCGTACTCACTCTGTCTGTCGTATTTGTGCCTTCCTGCAGTGGAGGCAGGCATCTATTTTAACCTTGTCTTTTTATTCTTGCTTGTGCCCTTTCTTTCCAGATAAACAGATACACATACATACCTACCTGTACAAATGAATGTCTATAGGGCCACTGTTGAATGTAGGTGCATGAGAGAATCATACCATCTCAACATTCTAGCATAGAAAGAGACCTTTTTTGATCTCAGCCCCATTACAAGCTAGAAACGTTTCCTGACAAACCTCCATACGACCTTTGCTCAAACCCTCCCTGTGATAGAGAGTCCGCTAAAGTTCAAGTTGTCCCTCCCAGGGAGATGTCTGTGATTCTTGGAAAGAACTGTCTCTTACCAAGCTGGGATCTACCTCGAGCAGCTCCTGCCAGCAGTCCTAGGCATGCCCTCTGCAACAGAACCCAGGAGGACCACTCTTCTTCCTCTTTACATCTCACAGAGAGTGAAATTGGCTCTCAGCACCCTTCTGACTGCAGTCACCCACAGACCTCAGGACTGGGCCTCCGCATAATTTCTAGAGCCATCTTTACTTCTCTGATGCTCAGGTCCTGGCAAACCTGGAAAGACTTGAATTCAGAGGCTTCTTCAGGAACAACTCCAAGAGAGAAGAAATAGCCCTTGTCAGCTCTGTGAGGGTTAAAATCAAATTCTGGCCCGGCCACAGTGGTTCATGCCTGTAATCCCAGCACTTTGGGAGGCCGAGGAAGGTGAATCACGAGGTCAGGAGTTCAAGACCAGCCTGGCCAAGATGGTGAAATCCTGTCTCTACTAAAAATACAAAAGTTAGCCAGGTGTGTTGGCAGGCGCCTGTAATCCCAGCTACTTGGGAGGCTGAGGCAAGAGAATTGCTTGAATCAGTGTGACAGAGGTTGCAGTGAGCCAAGATCACGCCACTGCACTCCAGCCTGAGCCATAGAGTGAGACTCTGTCTCAAAAAAAAAAAAAAAATCAGATTCTTGTTAAGTTGTGTTGCAAATGGAAAGAAGCTGCTGAGCCCCCTATGACTAAACCATGGACTCCCAGCTAATATCCCAAACATAGGTGACCCTGGCTAAGGTCAGAGAGGCTGAGTGGCTCAGCAAGGGTCAAACACACACTGGACACTTGAGCCACACTCTTAACCACCATATCATCTACCAGAGATGAGTCCAGCAGATTTTAGTTCAAGAAAAACTTAGAGGTAGAGGCAGAAGACTGATTTGTAGCCTTGGCACAGACTGGTCCATACATCTCCAAACATCTGTTTGGCTTCTGTGAGAAGAATCCACTGTGCCTTAAGGGGGACCAGGCCTGAGGGCTCAGCTCCCCACATAACCACTGGCCTCCTCTCCTGCTTACTCTCTGTGATGTCTGCCCCTCTTAACCTCAGTTTCAGAGTCCTGACCCATCTGAGGAGCAGGAGAGGACCATGATAAAGAAATGAATCCCACATCCTAACAGGTTTAAATAGAACTTCACTTCATAAGCAGACACATTGTGTTACCCGTGAAATTCTATGGGAGTAGCCTATAACAAATTCATTTTCTATCAGACTGAAAATCTTTGTGCATACTCTTTGTATTATGAATTCTTTTCATAGAAGCCAAACAGATGTTTGGAGATATATGGACCAGTCTGTGCTAAGGCTACAAATCAGTCTTCTGCCTCTCCCTCTAAGTTTCTCTTGAACTAAAACCTGCTGGACACATCCCTGGTAGATGATATGGTGGTTAAGAGCATGGCTTGTGTCCAGTGTGCATTTGACCCTGGCTGAACCACCCAGTTCTCTGACCCTTAGCCTCTTATCCCGGCAGTGGGTTAACTTAGCGTCTGTGGTATTTTTATGACAAACAGGCAATATATGTAAATCTATGCAAATGCTTAGCATAATACCTTCAGGGACAACGCCAAGAGAGGAGAAATAGCCCTTGTCAGCTCTGTGAGGGTTAAGCTCAGATTCTGGCTGGGTGCAGTGGCTCACGCGTGTAATCCCATACTCCTAGAATACTGTAAGAATTCTATGGTAACTATTAATAATTATACATATCTATTTTTTAAATTAGATACTGCTAATAGCATGTTCTCATACATTGAATGACAATCACGTTGCTAGTATGTCAGAAATCTCAGGTCACCGAATCTTTTTTTCATAATATGACTCTAATAAACTTTTAGCTTTTTCTAACACAACTTTTTGCCCAAATTCTGCATAGCCCTGATTGACCATTTCCTTAAATAGAGGCTTGAAAGTAGAGGAAACTAGTCCTATTTGAATTTCAGGTCATGTTAATTCTTTTTTTAAGGGACAAGGTCCTGCCTTGTCATCCAGATTGGAGTGCAGTGGCATGATCCTAGCTCACTGCAGCCTCAAAATCCTGGGCTCAAGCAATCCTCCCATCTCAGCCTCCCAAGTAGCTAGGACTACAGACATGTACCACCTTGCCTGGATCATATTTTTAAAAACTTTTTAGAGAGACAGAGTCTTACTGTGTTGCTGCCCAGGCTGGTCTTGAACACCTGTCCTCAAGAGATCTTCTTACGTTGGCCTCCCAAAGTGCTAGTATTACAGCTGTGAGCCACCATACCCAGCCATATCACTTTTACTTTTATTTTTATTTTAAGTTCTGGGGTACATGTGCAGGATGTGCAGGTTTGTTACAGAGGTAAATGTGTGTCGTGGTTGTTTGCTTCACCTATCAACCCATCACCCAGGTATTAAGCTGAGCATGAATTAGCTATTTTTCCTAATACTCTCCCTTTCCCCACACCCACCGACATGCCCCAGTATGTGTTGTTTTCCTTCCTGTGTCCATGTGTTCTCATTGTTCAGCTCACACTTATAAGTGAGAACACGTGTTATTTAGTTTTCTGTTCTTGCGTTAGTTTGCTGAGGATAATGGCTTCCATCTCCATCCATGTCCCTGCAAAGAACATGAGCTGATTCCTTTTTATGGCTGCATAGTATTCCATGGTATAAATAAGCCACATTTTCTTTATCCAGTCTATCATTCATGGGCATTTGGATTGATTCCATGTCTTTGTGAATAGTGCTGCAATGAACATACATGTGCATGTATCTTTGTAACAGAATAATATATATTCCTTTGGGTATATACCCAGTAATGGGGTTGCTGGGTCAAATGGTATTTCTAGATCTAGATCTTTAAGGAATCACCACATCATCTTCCACAATGGTAGAACCAATTCACATTCCCAACAGTGTAAAAGCGTTCCTATTGCTCTGCACCCTCACCCCATCTGTTGTTTCTTGGCTTTTTAATAATCACCGTTCTTATTGGCATGAGATGGTACCTCATTGTGGCTTTGATTTGCATTTCTCTAATGATCAGTGATGTTGCACTTTTTTTCATATATTTGTTGGCCACATGAATGTCTTCTTTGGAAAAGTGTCTCTTCATGTCCTTTGTCCAGTTTTTAATTTTTTTTTTTTTAATAAATGTGTTTAAGTTCCCTGTAGATTCTGGATATTAGACCTTTGTCAGATGAGTAGATTGCAAAATTTTTCTCCCACTCTCTAGATTGCCTTTTTGCTCTAATGATAGTTTCTTTTGCTGTGGAGAAGCTCTTTAGTTTAACTAGATCCCATTGTCAATTTTTGCTTTTGTTGCCATTGCTTTTGATGTTTTGATTATGAAATTGTCGCCAATGCATATGTCCTGAATGGTATCGCCTAGAATTTCTTCTAGAGGTTTTATAGTTTTGGGTGTTACATTTAAGTCTTTAATCCACCTTGAGTTAATTTTTGTGTAAGGTATAAGGAAGGGGTCCAGTTTCAATTTTCTGCATATGTCTAGCCAGTTCTCCCAGCACCATCTATTAAATAGGGAATTCTTTCCCCATTGCTTGTTTTTGTTAGGTTTGTCAAAGATCAGATGGTTGTAGATGTGTGGTCTTATTTCTGAGTTCTCTATCCGGTTCTATTGGTCTATGTGTCTGTTTTTATATCAGTACTGTACAAAAACAGTACATCGTTTGGTTACTATAGTCTTGTAGTATAGTTTGAAGTCAGGTAGCATGATGTCTCCAGCTTTGTTCTTTTGGCTTAGGATTGTGTCTTGGCTATATGGGCTCTTTTTTGGTTCCATATGAATTTTAAAATTGTTTAATACTCTGAAGAATGTTAATGGTAGTTTAATGGGAATAGCACTGAGTCTGTTAATTACTTTGGGCAGTAAGCCATGTCACTTTTTGATTATATTATTTTTGTAGTAAACTGGATCTGTGTCTAAAATTGCAAAGCACTAACAAGTATGTATATATATGTTTTGTTTTGTTTTGTTTTGTTTTTAATGACAGGTCATTGAGACTGGCTCTTCTCAAAGGGACACTGTCCTCAGTGCTTTATACAGCAGTTTAAATAAAGTCATTCTTTATTGCCTGTCCAAGCCCCAGCAGTCCCTCTCTGAATGCCTCAGCCTTCTCAGTATCCTGGGCTTTCTGCAAGAGCACTGGGATGTCGTCTTTGCCACCTACAATTCCAACGTCAGCTTCCTTCTGTGTCTCATGCATTGCCTTTTGCTGCTCCATGCGAGAAGGTAAGAGCTTCCCCCTTGTTTCCTTGTCTGCTGGTGGTCCATGCAGAAAGGAGAGATTTAGAGCGGCACTTGATTGAGGATTGAGATCTGTATAAATGATATCATCCTTTTGTTTATCTGGTCCTCCATATTTTGTGAAATGTTTGATAACATGTTAAGTCATCCCCATCCCTGTCCATGTGACGGCAGCTAAAGTCATTAAGAAATAATAATTTACCCCAGTTCCACAATTCTAAGATTGTATGATACCTCATTAATTTAGTGTTTGAGGCAGCAAATGCCAACATTAAATATACACATTGATTTTATCATGCAACCAAATTCCAGAAACACTATCATTAGATAATTGCAATCTTAGAGTGGAAAAAAATAAAAATATAATATATTGTATTATGCAATGTGGGAATAATTTTGATTTCAGAAAAAAATTACATATGCATACAATGTATGATATAAAATGACATCCATAAAAGTGCTAGTTATAAAGCTATTAAATTAAGATTTAAGTCCCTTTCCTGAACCCCCAAGTTTGGAAATAGGTCAGATTTCCTTTCTTATGTTCACTTTCTGTCTCTCTGTGTGTGTCAGTGTGAATGTAACACATTCTCCAGTATCTCAGCATCATGCTGCCTGTGAATATGTTCTCATATGAATACAGCTGTGAAAGCATAGAGGGAGAGAGGAGTATGGGATGTCACACTTTGCTCTTGTCCTTATTCTTCATTATATTCATCCTAACAAAAATTATGTTTGATCACTTAAAAAAACAGTCCCCCACATCCTGCAGTGTTGACTGTTGAACAGTGCAAAACACTGGCATTGACTTCCCATAAAACCCTTTTGGGAAACCCTCGGGAACCCTCCTAGACCAGAGGAGGCACTTGTCTTTGTTTAAAAGAAAAGAATCCATTTTCAGTATGTGGTTTAATTTGGGGAGGTTTTTTTTTCCTTTTTTTTTTTTTTTTTTTCCTTTTTCAGGAATTAGGCCTTATGCATCCTGAAAGCACGGGTAAAGAGGAGCAGAATGACAATTGAATCATGTGCTTGAGAGAACACCCTCCTCAGGTCTCTCTGTTTAGCAAGATTGACTTTGTTCTAGAAATTTCAAAAATAGGCATTCTCATATGTCAGGTTATTTTCCTGTTCATGTTTGTCATTTTCAGTTCAATCCATGAACATTTACTGAGCGTCTATTTGTTTTGTGTCAAAATGGCCACTTGTACATTAATACAACGGGGACCCCCCCAGAACACATGGTTCATGGGAAGCCTAATGTATAAACCACCATGTCTCCACTTAGAGCTGGCTACGTCATAGGTGAGCCCTACAGCAAAATTAAAATGTGAGGCTTGTGTCCAAAAATACCCAAGATTTCAAGATGATGACAGCAGAGCCCCAAAACAGGGCCCTTCTTAGTACAGGGCCCTGTGTAATTGCACAGGTTGCATGCCCATGAAGCCAACCCTGGCCCCATTCAAGACAGCATAAAATCAGTGCCAAACAAAGGCACTGTGGAATTTCTTATAAAGTGTTTGCTTTAATTGATTAGACAAGTTATTTTTCCATATTGATATAGAGAATTATTGGAGGATGATTATTTGTAATAAAGAACAATGGAATGGCCTCAAGGAAACTGGAGTTTATTGGATTTTCATGAAAAATCTCTTATCTACTAGTTACCCAGAGGGATTTGGATTGGAGCCCAAGCCTAGAATGTCTACTTACCATCAAGTCTTCCTTTCCCCAAATGAAGAATCGAAAGAAAAAAGAGAAGACATGCCAAGTTTGAGTGATGGTACATTTTATTTGTCACTGTGTATGTGTGTGTGTGTGTGTGTGTGTGTGTGAGGGGTGATGGGTGGATATTGGTACCTACTAGCGTAGGTAGAACTGAAGAATGAGGTGCATTCTTCAGTTCTTCCTTCCCAAAATAAGAAAGCCGATAATAGTAATGACATTTTCAAAAAGCCAGAAGAAGACTTAGGAAATCCTAGAGTAATTATGTATTAGTATAGCAAGGCAAGCTGGTAGAAGTAATATTGGATTGGTCTTTGTATATTAGAAATGAAATGGAAAGGAATAAATGGATGTATAGGTGAAGAGAAAGCTCTGTGGGACTTGGTTTGACTAGAAGCTTGATCCAGGGTCTCTATTGTAAATTAAAACTGTCACACCCTATCTCACCTAGTTCAAGCCATTACCTAGTTACTGTTCAGCTTCATTCCCTAGTAAGTGAGAAGGGAGTAAATAAACCAATTACTCTCTATAAGACTTTTGGTCTAATGACGTTTATCTTGGATTTACTAATCTCAAATCAAGTTAAAGAGATTAGCAGTTATTTTTCTGGCAGCCGGTTCTATGTGTTTGAGTGATTACGCTCTCTCTTGGTCCAGGAAGCAGAAGCTCTGCCACTCCTTCTGCCAGTCTGGTTTGCAGACTGTTCCACTTAACTTGTGATATGTTGTGATACAAGATTGTACACACAACAATCTTGTATTACGCACAGTGGTTCACGCCTGTAACCCCAGCCCTTTGGGAGGCCGAGGTGGGTGGATCACCTAAGGTCAGGAGTTCAAGACCAGCCTGATCAACATGGTGAAATCCCATCTCTATTAAAAATACAAATAATTAGCTGGGCATAGTGGCATGTGCCTATAATCCCAGCTACTCAGGAGGCTGAAGCAGGAGAATTGCTTGAAACCAGGAGGCAGCAGTTGCAATGAGCCAAGATCACACCACTGAACTCCAGTCTGGGCAACAAGAGCGAAACTTCGTCTCAAAAAAAGATTGTACATACAGGACCTTCATGTTCTGGTTAGGTGGCTGCCATGCTAAAAAATCTTACGACTTTAAAGTTTGTTGGACATGGTGTTGATTACAACACGGATGTACACACTTTGGGACTTAGCTGGTGGAGCTAGGCTAGGCACTGTCCATCCCCTTAGGATGGGAAAAACAGTCTCTAGGGGCTGTTACCAGAGAGGGGACTCATTGGTCCAAGATCAGAGGAAATTTAGGCTTGGTTCAGGGGATTACGGATGTGGGGCACAGCAGACACAGTTGGCTTGTTAGATCTGCTTACACCTAAACAATTCCAGGAAATGGATGGGTAGTGAGAAGCAAGGTCCAGGAAAGAGGACTGGCTGTTTCCTGAGCCCTGAGCCACAGGACAGCCTTGAGCTTGGTGTCCATTCCCCTGAGAGGTCAACATGTAAAGGAAGGTTGTAAGGAGCTGTTTGAGTGGAGCTATTTGACTACCCAGAGCTCACACCAGGTGTCCCTCTGGTATCTAACAGAATTAGGAGTAGGGAGTGAGGCTCCCTGCACTCATAAATGATATTTCCCAGTCCTGGACATGTGAGGCAGGCGGGACTTGTTTGCAGGCAGGTAGAGGTAGAGGAAGGCCAGCTCACATGGGTGTTGGTAGCGTTGTCAGGCCTATGGCTCTCCACACTGATTGCTTCTGGCTGGAGCTTGCAAAACTGGGATGATGTCTAAGACCTTAAGTGAGAAGGGTGTGGGTAAAACCATTCATGGTATGCCATCTCCCAGCCGTCTCTGGGAGGGTCACTGAGGCCATCCTGAATGTGCCATGTTCTCTCTCTGCTAGTCCAGCACAACATCCAGAAGACAGTGAAGACTCTCTGGCAGCAGCTGGTGGCACAGAGGCAGCAGACACTGGAGGATGCCTTCAAGATCGATCTCTCTGTGAAACCTGGAGAGAGGGAAGTGAAGATTGAAGAAGTCACACCACTCTGGGAGGAGACGATGCTCAAGGCCTGGCAGCATTACTTAGGTCTCTGTCCACTCGGCTCCAGGGAATGGGAACTCCTGGGTCTTACAGAACCAGACTCCCCCAAGTTTCCACTCAGGGCCCAGAGCCTTTCCTACCTGGACCCTCTGTCTTATCCCTTAAGTAGATGGCATTTATATCATTGAAATCTTATGTATCTTTCCTCATGATGAATGAATGTCACATGTCACCTTGGGTGAAAGCAAGGCCAGAAGTGCCAACCAAGCGAGAAGATTCCAGTAATTTCTTAGAGGAAAAGACAGATGTGGAGTCTGTTGCCTGGACTCAGGAACTTGAGGTTCTAGGTCCTACCCTGATACCCTGATACCTACCAGCTTTGAAATCTTCCACTAAGTCATGCAATGACCTTGAGTTTAAGTTCCTTATGTCCCCTCACTTCAAAAAGTAAAAGTTTTCATCCCAAAATTATTAATGTCCCTTGCATTCTGTTAGTGACTCAACATGTTTACCATATTAGTATTTGGCACTAATAAATAACATTTTTGCATATTAGTCAATGCAGCTGCAAGAATCAAGTTTTAATTTTGTTTTGAAGGTGATCACTGCTCTCAACTTACATCTCCTATACTTATACATCTTCCAGAATCACAAAATTTACAGTGATTCAAGAGTTAGTTATTTCCATGTATATTGTCACAGACTGTCCAGTGGCTCAGAATGGCTTTCGAATTGGCTTTCTAAATTAGTACTGGCAAATGTGTATATACATCCCCAGTTTTGTCCATTTATGCTGCTATAACAAAATACCACAGGCTAAGTGATTTACAAATGATAGAAATCTATTTGCTCAGTTCTGGAAACTGGGAAGTTCAAGATCAAGGTGCCAGCGGATCTGTTGTCTGCTGAGGGCTGTGTCTGGCATCTGTTCTAAGATGGTACCTTGTTGCTGTATCCTCTGGAAGGGAGAAATGCTGTGTTCTCCCATGGTGGAAGAGACAGAGGGCAAAAAGAGCCTGGGATGATGCCATTCAGCGATTCTATAGGACACTAATTCATTTATGAAGGTAGAACCCTCATGTTTTAATCACCTTGTTCAAAAGATCCCACTTCTTAGTACAACCACAATTGGAATTAAGTTTCAACATGAATTTTGGAGGGAACACACATTCAAATGATAGCAATACCTATCTACTTTCATGTATATTTGAAGTCAAAATGTCAGATTCTATCTCAGAGAAAAGTAAAATAAAATAGGATACACATATCCATGCACATACAGTGGAATAAAATAGTAAAATAAATTGTAAAGCTTACAAATGACTCTTTTTGCCAATAATCATATATTGAACACTTTCTATGTTCCAGGGTCTTTAGACACATATCTTATGTAATCTTCATGACATATCAATCAGATATTGTTATCCCCATTTCACAGGATGAGAAAACTGAAGCTCAGCAACTTTAGTTAACCTGTTCAACATCTCACTGTGGGTCAACAAGCCATGGAGCTAGGAGTTTAGGCTAAGTCTGGTGACCTCAAAGCCTACCGTGTTTCTTAGCCAAAGGAGAGTCAGAGATGGCAGCGTGAGCTTGTAGCCTGGGCTGTTTCTCTTTTTGGAGGCAACCACTGGGGGCTTGTGCCCTGGTTGGCCCTCTGAAAGCCAAGCTAGCTATGAAAATAGTATGTGCAGCTGGGCATGGCGGCTCACACCTGTAATCCCAGCACTTGGGAGGCTGAGGAGGATGGATCATAAGGTCAAGAGATCGAAACCATCCTGGCCAACATGGTGAAACCCTGTCTCTACTAAAAATACAAAAATTAGCTGGGCGTGGTGGCACGTGCCGGTAGTGATGGCATATGCTTGAACCCAGGAGGCAGAGGTTGCAGTGAGCTGAGATGGTGCCACTGCACTCCAGCCTGGTGACAGAGCGAGACTCCATCTCAAAGAAAAAAAAAGGAAAAGAGTGTATGTTCTCACTTTACCTCCAACATTCTTTGCTTCTCTGCCCTCAGCATCTGAGAAGAAGTCACTGGCAAGTCGTTCAAATGTTGCACACCAAAGCAAAGTCACTTTGTGGAGTGGAAGCCTGTCCTCAGCCATGAAACTGATGCCCGGGCGGCAGGCCAAGGACCCTGAGTGCAAGACAGAGGTGAGCCCATACCCCTTTTCCTTAGAGAAGCATCAGTTTTTTGCATCAGATCCCACGAGTTGTGTCTTCTCTCTGCTGCCTGTCACTGTACATGATCTAACTCCACGTCTTGTGAGCATTTTAGGGTATGCCTGTAGCTCTCCAGTTGAGGCTATGTCTAGGGTAGCTAGGTATTAGGCTGGCTTCTTGTTCCCATTGTCAACTGGAATCAGATGTACTCAGATGGCACTAGCCCACCAGTCAGCAGCAGCGAGGGGTGTGAGCCCAGCAAAGGTGAACAGAAACATTGACTTCATTGCCAGGAGACACAGGGATGGACCACCTTGACTGTGTTGGGTGGGCCCCCTTGACTGTGTGGGGCAGACCCGTTATGGTTTTCTAATCAATTTCTCGAAAACTGCAAACTGAATCCTCCTAAAACTCATTGGCGCCAACAATGTGTATGTGTGTGTGCATGTGCAATCAGGAACGTTGTTGTGAGGAATTTGGAGTACAGTGGGTGGGTGGACAGGTTATCTCTGCCCCACAGTGTCTGGGGCCTCAGCTGGGATTATTGGAAGGCTGAGTTACTCACATACCTGGTGGTTGCTGCTGGCCTTAGTCTGAGACTTTAACAGCAACTATTGGCTGGAATACCTACACATGGCCTTTCATGGGAACTGAGCTACCTTATAGCATGGTGGCAGGGTTTCAAAGGATAATAGAGAGAGAGAGAGAGAGAGCTCACCAGGCAGAAACTGCATTACTTTTTATAATCTAGCTTCAGAAACCATGCAGTGTCACCTCCGTCAAGATGGCCAAAACATTCTGCCCAAGTTCAAGGGAATGGAATAGACTCCACCTTCTCATGGGGGAGTGGCGAGGTTCTGCAAGAACATGTGGGACTAGAAATGTTGCTGGGGTCCTTTTGGAAATGCGTGATCTGTGATATATTCTATGCCAGTGATATATTCTAATGCCAGGGCCACTGATTTCTTCAGAGGTGGACTGTGGTTGTTGCTGGACATGACTGTAGGGTCAGGAGACCTTGGGAAGTTTACTTAACTCCCCAGTAGGAAAATAACTGTGGGAACCTGGGAAGGCTCCCCAGAGAGGTGAAGTAGACAGCTGACAGACACGTTAACATAATCCCAGCTCTTGGCTCATGAACTTTGGGAAATTAGGTGGAGCCCAAATCCCACCAGTTCAGAATCTGTAACTGCCTATAAGTGACCAGACAGCTGAGGAAAGAGGCTTTCTTTTCCCAGGCTTTAGGATTCATAGGCTTCAGGGCATAGAAAGAGTTCAGATGTAGAAGGGAAGGCCAGAAATGAACTGGGTGGGCTGGCTACCTACCTGGTGCTGAGAATTGAGGGCAAAGCACATGTCTTATTCAGGCTGCATTCTCAGGGAACTGACTTGTTAAAGGCACTGTCTGGTAAGTTTAATGGTAGACTCACTGATTGAATACGTGAATGTGTGAGTAACTCACTCAGATTTTATAACAGCTGCATCACAGGTATTATAGCTCTGTTATAAGAATGTGGAAGCTGAATCTGAAAAAAAAAAAAAAAAGTTAAGGGCTTTTCAGCCATTAAATGTCAGAGTGAACATAGGATCCCGTCTTTGTGCTGCTGAGGAGGACCTTAGGGAATTTGTGAACCTCTCAGAGCTTCCATTCCTGAACTTACAACTGGAATTATGCTCTGTTTATGGTAGAGCATGTGAAGCCCTTGGAAACTGTAAATGCTTTAGAAATAGGAGACTGTTTACAAATTCCGTTTGGCCTTCTAGCTCTCTCTGCCAAGATCAAGATCATCCCATAGGTGACATATGTACTCCTAAAACTTGGAGTACTCCCATTTGTGCCCAGATACCTGCTCCTGACTAATGCCACTTGGGACAGAAGGGGTCCAGCTTCTCCTTGCTTGGTTTCATCCTGGAGCTTCTCTTCCTTGACTATTGTCCCCAGGAGGTGAGGACAGCCTGGCTGGGAGCTAGGGAAGGGATGTTGGGGTGCTGGGCATGGGCATTCATCTCATGGGGACCTTCACACCTGTTGACACTACCTCTTGCCATTGCCCCTCTACCTTCCCCTCTAATCAGTGTCATTGACACAGCTCGGCTGCCTCCAAGTCCTGGGGACATGCGTTGAGCAACAGCTCATCTGAAAGAAGCCTGAGTAGATGACCATGTTTGGGGCCATGTAGGTGTCCCAAGTGGCTTTTAACAGTTTGTTCTTGGCTCACATTGAGAGATCTGGGAGAAAGAATATCCAAAGCCCGCTCTGTCTTGGGTGAGGGCAGGCTGTTGAAGATGTTGCCTTCTCCATTCATTGAGGTCTTCTTCACTTGTTCATTCAACAAGCATTTATTGAGTACTTACACTGCACCCTGCTCTGAGCACTGAGGTTACAGAAGAGAACAAAACTGACATATTCTCTTCTGTCATGGAGCTGCAGTCTAGGGAGTCAAGACAGACAATAAACAAATAAATTTGTAAATATTGGGAGAATTGATGGCAATGAGGAAAAAAACCGGTAGGGTAAGGCAGGGAGGGTGGTGAGAGAGGGGCCGCCGGGCTGTTTAGATGGAGAAGATCAGCAAAGCCATCTTGGCAAGGGTGCATTGGAGCAGAGGAGAGAATTTATGATGAACACGAGTTTTGAGATGTTCTTGGAAAGAGGGTTAGGCGGAGAAGACAGTTGGGCAGTGGCACTGAACTAGGTGTGTGCTGGGCAGCAAGGCCGGTGTGGCTGGACTGAAGTGGAGGGAGTCACTCATCACTCAGAGTCACCCCAGCTTCCAGGCAGCCACCGGGAATCTCTCCCTCACCTTCCAGAACCAGGAAGAACTACTTTCAGCAACTCAAGAGGAGCAGAAATTTGGCAACAGATTATGTCTCTCTCTTTGATCTGGACACTCGGAAGCTCAGAGAGATAAGCATGGTTCAGCTTTTGTAATTGCACACAACTAGTGGGCTAAATTTCCGAGCCACCTACACATACAAATAAGTACACACATACCTTCTCCCTGGCTTCTTCCTTCTCCGTTGACCACACTTTCCCTTCAATTTGATTCATTTATTCTTTCTACACGTTAAATTATCTCATAGATTTTAAAAGACATTATTTTTGAAACAAAGAGGACAGTGTTTTAATCTTTAAAATTAACTGCATCTTTGCTTAGCAGCATCTTGTACTGGTAACTCAGCCTTGGATGGGCACCGTGCCTGCTACATGGTAGGCCCTTAAAGAATGCAGATGGAAGTGCTTAGAGCAAGGGGGTAGACGCTCCCCCTCCTTTTGCTGAGATGAAACTCACCAGCTTTCAGACACTGCATCCATCACTCAACTCCGTGAGATGCCTTTGTCGCTAACAGAAGGCACAACTTCTCAGGTACATATGTACATTGTGATACCATAGGATAAGAGCATCAACTATTTGCCCTGGGGTCTGTTTAATTATTTTTAAAAATTAATTTTGATTATTACAGCTGATTACACCTCAGTGAGCAATGTAATTGATATTTTCTAATGTATCCCAAGGAACATTTTGTACAACATGCTTTTTGTTGTTGAAGGTTAAAGACTCCGTTATTGGTTTTTCCCTAAATATGCCCACATCATTAGTCCCTCCAGTGAGAAGGTCGCCATCTGGAAAAAGCAGCACAGAGACATTATTCAGGCACAAGTGCATGAAATTGGGGTTTCTGCATCTTCTGTCTCTCTTCTGGAAAGAAGAGGCTTATAATTAAAGGAGTTGGTATTGGAGGAAACATTATTCATTTGGTGTTATTCCTTATCATGTCAGCAGCTGACAGCCCTATAGCACTGATAAATTGTTCCTTGGAGTGAGACATATGATGTAGGACTCATAATTCCTCTTACCTATCTTCATTTTTTGTAGAAAATGTTTTCTTCCTGGCAGGTGAGCTAAACTTTGAGGCAGGGCTGATTTGATAGATGTTATTTCTTCTTCTCCCCCTGACACCATTACAGTCCCTTGCGGGAGCACATTGTGAAGTCACCCACCGTCTTTACAAGGCCGCGGGTGTCAACTTGTTGGACAGAGATTGGGAACTTGGGCTCTCTTGAGGCCACCAAAGGGCAACTCAGGGTGTAGGCCACCTTCTCATGCCTACCGTCTGCCTGGAGAATCTGGGCTGCACAGGCTGGCCAGCTCCCCTTACCTGCTCAATTCCAGACTTCCTTGTTTAGAAACAAGTTGAAAGAACATCAGCAACAATGTTGGTTTCTTAGTTTTGACAGACACAACATGGCAATGTGGAAGTTAATTAACTTTACAGGAAACCAGGTGAAGGGTAGGCGAAAATTCTCTGTACTATCTTTGTAACTTTTATGCAAATTGAAAGAATTCCAAAATACAAAGTGTGTCATCATCTGTTTATATAAAAGCATTAGCAATCAGAAAATGTGCACAGGAATCAGGAGGCTGGAAGCTGGGTAGGAAGGGGCCGTGGAGGAGGTGATGCCTAGAGCTGAGTCTGGGAGGAGGAGCGGGGTCAAAGCCCGGGCAGAGGAGGGCTCTCGGGCAGGGAGAAGGCCAGGGGCCTTCTCGGGTGGTAAGAAAGAGGCCAAGGCGGTGGGTAAAAGCCAGGTCAGGGGGCACCACAGGCCAGCCTAGACACTCAACATTTATCTGTAGGCAAGAGGTTAAACAGAGGCCTGGCATCTGCTCCAACAGGTGAGATTACAGGTGAGGGCCCCTAGTGGTGAACCAAGCCAGGGGTGGCGGGCGGCTGTAGTGTGATTCAGGTCGGAGATAATGGGGGCTGCAGCAGCTGTAGTTGGAGTAGTGAACATCAATAACACACAGAAAATTCTGTTCAACTGAGGCTGAGACAGGTGAGAAAAGAGGGCCACCCAGGACAGGCCTGGCTCTGAGAAGGGAGGGCACCCGGGGTGGGAGACTTTCAGATGGTCTGTTGGATTCTGCAAAGAATGGGGAGAAACAAGAACCAGAGGAAGGGGGTTGAGCGTGCAAGGCCACTTCCAGCCC